TATGGAATCATGTAGTAACCAAAAAAAAGTGTTAAACAAATCAAAATATATTTTATATTTGAGATTCTTCAAAGTAGCCACCCTTTGTCTTGATGACAGCTTTGCACACTCTTGGCATTCTCGCAACCAGCTTCATGAGGAATGCTTTTCCAACAGTCTTGAAGGAGTTCCCACATATGCTGAGCACTTGTTGGCTGCTTTTCCTTCACTCTGCGGTCCAACTCATCCCAAACAATCTCAATTGGGCTGAGGTCAGGTGATTGTGGAGGCCAGGTCATATGATGCAGCACTCCATCACTCTCCTTCTTGGTCAAATAGCCCATACACAGCCTTGAGGTGTGTTGGGTCATTGTCCTGTTGAAAAACAAATGAGAGTCCCACTAAGCGCAAACCAGATGGGATGGCGTTTTGCTACAGAATGCTGTGGTAGCCATGCTGGTTAAGTGTGCCTTGAATTCTAAATAAATCACAGACAGTGTCACCAGCAAAGCACCCCCACACCTCCATGCTTCACGGTGGGAACCACACATGCAGAGATCATCCATTTACCTACTCTGCGTCTCACAAAGACAACGGTTTGAACCAAAAATCTCAAATTTGGACTCATCAGACCAAAGGACAGATTTCCACCGGTCTAATGTCCATTGCTCGTGTTTCTTGGCCCAAGCAAGTCTCTTCTTATTATTGATTGTCCTTAGTAGTGGTTTATTTGCAGAAATTCAACCATGAAGGCCTGATTCACGTAGTCTCCTCTGAACAGTTGATGTTGAGATGTGTCTGTTACTTGAACTCTGTGAAGCATTTATTTGGGCTGCAATTTCTGAGGCTGGTAACTCTAATGAACTTATCCTCTGCAGCAGAGGTAACTCTGGGTCTTCCTTTCCTGTGGTGGTCCTCATGAGAGCCAGTTTCATCATAGCGCTTGATGGTTTTTGCTACTGCACTTGAAAAAACTTTGAAAGTTCTTGAAATGTTCCATATTGACTGACCTTCATATCTTAAAGTAATAATGGACTGTAGTTTCTCTTTGCTTATTTGAGCTGTTCTTGACATAATATGGACTTGGTCTTTCACCAAATAGGGCCATCTTCTGTATACCACCCCTACCTTGTCACAACACAACTGATTGGCTCAAACGCATTAAGAAGGAAAGAAATACCACAAATTAACTTTTAACAAGGCACACCTGTTAATTGAAATGCATTCCAGGTGACTACCTCATGAAGCTGGTTGAGAGAATGCCAAGAGTGTGCAAAGCTGTCATCAAGGCAAAGGGTGGCTACTTTGAATAATCTCAAATATAAAATATATTTTGATTTGTTTAACACTTTTTTGGTTACTACATGATTCCATATGTGTTACTTCATAGTTTTGATGTCTTCACTATTATTCTACAATGTAGAAAATAGTACAAAATGAAGAGAAACCCTTGAATGAGTAGGTGTTTCCAAACTTTTGACTGGTACTATATCTATCTATCTATCTATATAAAAATAAACACACACCCCCCACCCTTGAGTTTACGAGATGCTGCCGTTCTGTCCTGCCGATGCATAGAAAAACTAGCTAGCTTTATAATAACCAGGTCCTCGTTCAGCCACGTCTACGTGAAGCATAGGATATTACAGTTTTTCAGGTCCCATTGATAGGATAGTCTCGAACGGAGTTCGTCTAGTTTGTTCTCCAGTGATTGTACATTCGCCAATAGAACAGAGGGTAGGGGTGGTTTATTCTCTCTGCCGTAGTTTCATCAGGCTGCCCCCACGTCGGCCTCTATATGGAACGTATTTTCCTCTTCCGAGTGTCAGGGATTAGGGCCTGGTCCTGGGTGAGCAGTATGTCATTGAAGTAGAATTCTTCATCCAAATCGAGGTTAGTGATCACTTTTCTGATATCCAGAAGCTATTTTCAGTCATAGGAAACAATGGCGGAAACTTTATGTACAAAAAAAGTTAAGATGAGCACAAAATAAATAAAAATACAGCATAATTGGTCAGGTGCCCGTAAAACAGACACTATACATGCCAGCGCCATTACCTGAAGTGTACTCTCCAAAATAAAAGTATTGCTGGTATTGTGTTTGTATGGTGAGCACTGGTGTATCAGCGTATGTGCAAACAGAGTGTGAGAGACCATGTGCTAACAGGGTGTGCGCCTGCGTAGCTGCGTACTTCCCTCCAGGGAAGGGAAGTAAGAGTCTGTATTAGTGAAAGGGGCTAAGCCTCAGGTATTGGGGTCAGATGGGATCAGAATCCTCTCGTCACATACACATTCCTTCTAATCAGCTTAAGGCTCCACCCGGAGTGGCCTCTCCACTTAAACAGCATCACAGCAAACACTACTGCTATGCTAAAGCTATGCTACGCGAACGCTACACTGTAGAAGCTAATGTACAGCTAACCCACTAAACCCAGGTTCAGCTCTCTCTGGGCTACAACATGAGTCAGCCTCTTAGTTCATCACTGTGTTGTAGTTCCTATTATTTAATAGGTGACCATATTTTACTGTATTGCCTGAAGGACTATCTAGGAACAGATTACATATTCGTACATGATCATACTGCACACATGGGTTGAGTCTAGGTAATCCCAATCCCTCCAATTTCCTAATATCCAACCCTCCTGTTAGGATTTTTTGTCACAGGAATTCCATACCTTGGTGCGGTTCCCTGGTATACTGACAAGAACTTCAATAGCTAACGATATCCACACTGAAGAAGGCTGTGAAGTCGAAACGTCTTTGTACGCTATCCCCTTTGCAGTAAAAATTATCTTGACCAATCGAAAAAATTAAGTAAGCTTTTTGCGACATTCGTTACATTTTTGTTCATTTCTTTCACAATAGCAAATAAACTATTACACTTTCCATACTGTCTTACCTGGCCAGCTTGCTGAGGCCCAGCACCCTCTTATTGGGGAGGTAGCCTATATGGACCTGGGGGAGAGAAGAGAGACCAATTCTGCCATTAATGATGTCCAAGGTCCGCATTATAGCATATTCATAACAGACAGCAAATCATGTTGCCCCAAATTCTGCACTGCCAAACAGACCCAACTGGCATGACAATGTACAGTATCTCACAGCGGTCGAAGTGGGCTGGATATGACTGAACGGATTCGACCCTGTGTCTCCTGTGTATCATAAGGCGGTTAGCCCGCTGAGCTAAAGCCTAGGCATTAGCTCAGTGAGCGAACACATTTCTTCAGGTCTCAACAAGTTTACTCATCACGTGAATATTTGTATTATATCAGGGGTCCCATCATGTGATGAAGGCAAGCTGAACATTTGCTTTCCATTCCACCTTGACGGGCTGCGGCGTGGGAAATGAATCATAAGAAGCGAAGACTAAAGGCAACATTATCTAAAGGCCATCGGAGGAGTGCAGGGGAGGTAAAGGAGTCTGCATCGTGGCTAAATAAGCAGCAGATAAACGCTCAGAAGAGGACCGAGATCTAGGCTCTCCTCCCCATCCGACTGGTGAGCCTGGTACTGGACTCGTACTGCGTATGACTGGAAGGCTAAATGCCCCCCCCTCTCCTTCCACCCATTCCCCACCCACCATCCACTCAAATGTCAGCAGCAATTTGCTGAAACGGGCTGAGAGAAAGGGCATGAATGCAAGGATTTCCCCTCCTCCTCCTCTTTCCCCCCCCCTCTCTTTCTGCTAGGTTGTGATAAAGTGCATTTCTGAACTGGGTAAAAGAAAAACAGTCACTTCACTTTGAAAAAAAGGGATTCACGTTTGATTCAAAGTGGGGTTCAGAGATGGGCATCATGGTTTTTCAAAGGTATGCGGTGTTAAAGTAGGCCTAACAGCATAGCAGAACAAAAACAAATACCACCTCGTTGTGAGGTGATAAGAGACACTAAAAGTGTTATTAAAAGACAACTGACTGGACGCGCAAAAACATTTGTAAAAATGTACTGCTCTATCCCTGAGCTCGCAGGCAGAAATCGGTGAGTCATTATCGCACTTGGCAATCGGCTCGGATAGATGCGCAGGGAAACATATACGTGTGTGGATAAGAGGAGACTAGCGCTTGTGACGATGACAGGGAGCTATCAGCAGGGGAAGGAGGTGGACGGAAGCAATGTGGACTTCTGACAGCCAACCGCAGACAAACAAACACACACCACAAAGACCAAAACGACTAGTGTGTGTATGTGTCCAAAGAGAGAGCGTGCATAACACTTGCTACCGCTATCATCACGGCCCATTTGCACCGTGAAAAGGATATGAAAAGATTAATGGCCTCCCTCTTTTGTCTTAAATGTCAAACACCTGCAGGGTAAGATGAGGGGAGAATAGAGGGGAGGATGCTAGGTCTACGGTACTAAATGTCAACAGGAGAATTTACAGAGGCAACCGTGTCTCACTTGAATCCCCACTAACTGGATTTCAGTTGATTTGGGATGCGTTCCAAATGGCAGCCTATTGCCAATTTGGTACAAGTAGTGTACTATAAAGGGAATAGGATGCAATTTGGAACGCACACTTGGTCAGTGCCAGTGGCCATTTTTCCTTACCAGTAGTTTAATCACAGCTGGGCTCAAATTACACGCTCATCAGTGGACAAATGCCTTATCAGTGCCCCTGAGGATGTTTCTACATGGGGAGCTGTTATTTTGGGTGTTTAGCAGTGGGGTATTAGGCTAGACGTGAGAGTACAGTAGCCTACTAATTTCATACAAATTGTGGCATCACTTCAGTCACTGAACTAGGCCTACAACTTCAACCTCTCACACAAAGATGTATAAATCAACCATGCAAGCCAAGGTAATATAGAAAGTAGGCCTACTCCTGACTTGTGAACAAGATTGTCTGAGAAGCATTTTAGGTGAGTTAAACATGTGTATAAAAAATTGAATTGTGTTGATATATTGCAGGATCCAACCTAGAAGATATTCCCCATAATTGGAGATTGTGCATCGTGGACTGGTGTGGGTCTGGGGTGCAGATAGAGTCATAGGGGCAAGTGTGTGTATGTGTGTGCGTGTACATGCAATCTTACCCTTCCAAAGATGGGCACCAGGTGGTGCTCACACATGGAGAACATGTCGATGTCCTTTACGATCACCATCTCGTCGTGGTCCTCGTCGAAGATGGCGTCGTTCAGCACGTCTGCAGAAGCAAAGAGAAAATGAGTGAGACTGATGAGTGCGAGGACCATCGAGTCGACGCCATACAGCTCTGAGACACTTAACAAGACGCTCAACAGACGAGACCAGACAGCCCTAGCCAACCTAATCACTCACTCTCCCTCCCTCCATCCCATAAGCCATATGCCTGTTTTTCTCTGGCAAACATTGTAATTATATCTCAACCCCCATATAGCCCTACCGCTCTTCCTGTTTGTCATTTTATTTCATTTTCTCTCCTAGCGGAGCTCATATCATCGTTCAAATAAATCCATGGGTTTTTATCTGTTTGTGGCGATGCTCCCTCCTTTCTCCCTGACGGAGGTTTTTAATTTCCTGGCCGCCTATCTACAGAGTTTGGGTCGGGGTGTGAGGTAAAGTTTCCATGGTAACATGGTGAGTGAGCAGACTGCCTGACTTGTTGCTTTAGGGTCCTGCCTTGTTGTTGTGGTTTTGCGTCTTGTCTATACAAGCAGCAGCCGGTTTGGGCACTATGGCGATGAGATCACTGGCTAAACTAACAACAACAACGGTAATAGGTTCTCCATACGCCGTAGTGTTCGAAAAGTCCACACCATCTCACCAATGTTCGATAACAGACAATGCATGTTTAGGCCTATATGCTGATTGTAAGTCACTCTGGATAAGAGCATCTGCTAAATGACCAAAATGTTAATGTATAGCAGGGGTACTCAAACTACTATTTGAGAAAGTCCACATTACTAAGGACTTAACATGGTCCACACACAACTGCACAGTTATGCAGAGGGAAAGACATGGCATGGGCCCTCGAATCCTCACAAAGTTCTACAGCTGCACCATCGAAAGCATCTTGACTGGCTGAATCACTGCTTGGTATGGCAAATGGACCGCCCTCGACCGCAAAGCGCTACATAGGGTGTTGCGGACAACCCAATACGTCACGGGGGCTCTCTGCCACCAAGGACCTCTATATCAGGCGGTGTCAGAGGAAGGCCAGAAAAATGGCCAAAGAATCCAGCCAACCAAACCACAGACTGTTCACTCTGCTACTGTCCGGGAAACAGTACCGGACCAACATTCCCCATATTATCACGTTATCTTTGTTGCTTTGCGTCGATGGGAAGGGCTCGTAAGCAAGCATTTTGCGGTCAAGTCTACACCCATTGTATTCGGCGCATGTGACAAATAAAAAGAGATTTCACTGAGTTCCTAATATAAATATATTAATTTTTTTGTCAAGACCCGCAGCCTGTATTGACCCAGGTCTGGGTCTGGACCACAGTCCACCGGTTGAGGATGTCTGATGTATAGGATAAGAATGATTAGAATATCAAGTGCAGTTTCACTAGACTAGTTAAACCAAACTGAACAAATGCTGATTTCACATCACTGTTAGAATATTACGATTTCTTGATTGACACCTCTCTGACACATTCAGTAGGTTAGAATGGAGTCATTAAGAACATTGTTATCTGTCGATTGATGATCATATTTGACAGTGCTTAAAGGAACAGTGCTACGGTTTGGGTTTTCCCTCAAGCAGTACTCCAAATGTCCCTCTCCCAGCCCAGTGTGTGCATGCATGTTTTTCCGGTAAAGCTCTACTGATGAATAGAGCATTGTCCCCAGTCCATCTCACCAACCTGAGGGCAGCAGCTGTTCAGAGAACAGTTACCCCTCACCAGACTGGTCCTCTACAAACACACACACACACACACAGCAGGTCATGTGACAGGGCAACAGCAAAAGAACAGGAAATAAAATCAGCATCAACCCAACTAATCTCAGACAAACAACCACACACACACAAACAATGAGTCACTACGGTTACATTACAAATTGTTAGGGTGTCAAGCAGAGGGGTTGAGAGCGCTGGTGGCTGGGTCGGCGTGAACTCTGCTTTCTCTATCCCCCTCTCCCTTTTTCTCTCCTCCTCTCTCCCTTCCTCACTCTACCTTTTTCTCTCCCTCTCTCTCAATCCCCTGAAGCAGTGCGGCCCTGCCCCTTCGCGTCAACACCTAATGAGAAAGAAACACCCTAATGATTGGTTGACAAATAGTGCATCCCACAATGTAGGTGATGGTTGCATGGTGCACTTGGTGAGAAGCATCTGCACCGACTCGAAGGTTCAGCCCTACATCATTCACACTGACTTCCTGTACGCTTGGGGCACTCATAAATTAGTCACTCATTTGCTCACACAAACGTAGAAACACGCATACATTCACACACACGAAAGGCAGGCATGGCCCTTCTGGGAAGGCTTTCCACTAGATGTTGGAGCATTGCTGCGAGGACTTGCTTTAATTCAGCCACAAGCATTAGTGACGTCGGGCACTGATCTTGGGCGATTAGGCCTGGCTTGCCGTCGGCGTTCCAATTCAACCCAAAGGTTGGGGTTGAGGTCAGGGCTCTGTGCAGGCTAGTCAAGTTCTTCCGATCTCGACAAACCATTTCTGTATGGACCTCGCTTTATGCACGAGGGCATTGTCATGCTGAAACAGGAAAGGGCCTTCCCCAAACTATTGCCACAAAGTTGGAGCAAAGAATCGTCTACAATGTCATTGTATGCTGTAGCGTTAGGATTTCCCCTTCACTGGAACTAAGGCGCCTAGCCCGAACCATGAAAAACAGCCCCAGAACATTATCCCTCTTCCACCAAATTTTACAGTTGGCACTATGCATTGGGGCAGGTAGCGTTCTCCTGGCATCCACCTAAACCCAGATTCTTCCGTCGGACTGCCAGATGGTGAAGCGTGATTCATCACTCCAGAGAACGTGTCTCCACTGCTCCAGAGTCTGGCAGTCCAGCCGAAGCTTGGCATTGCGCTCCCGACGAACAGTTATTGTGCTGACTTTGCTTCCAGAGGCAGTTTGGAACTCGGTAGTGAGTGTTGCAACTGAGGACAGACGATTTTTACGCGCTTCAGCACTCGCCGGTCCTGTTCTGTGAGCTTGAGCGGCCTACCACTTCGTGGCTGAGCCGTTGTTGCGCCTAGAAGTTTCCACTTCACAATAACAGCACTTACAGTTGACTGGGGCAGCTCTAGCAGGGCAGAAATTTGACAAGCTGACTTGTTGGAAAGGTGGCACTGAGCTCTTCAGTAAGGCCATTCTACTGCCAATGTTGGTCTACGGAGATTGCATGGCTGTGTGCTCGATTTCATACACCTGTCAGCAATTGGTGTGGCTGAAATAGCCAAATCCACTCATTTGAAGGGGGTGTCCACATACTTTTGTAGTGTATATCCATATATCCACTGGCTCAATGTGACAAGGCGAACATGACCACACCTATTGCTTTACCTTTAAAGAGAGACGGTTTCCCGCACACTGATTAAGCCTATTCCTGGACTAAAAAGCACTTTGAATGGAGATTCTCCTTTGTTTTTCATCCAGGTTTAATCTGGGTTTGTGAAACTGGCCATAGAAGTTATTCAGCTCTTCGAAATCTTCAATTCAATGACATTACACATTTAAACAAAGGGGTGGTGCAGAATAAGAGCCAATCAAAAAAGGGAGATAACACCACTTGCTTCAGTGCTCCTGAACACACACACATTATATCATCATGACTCTTCACTTTTTGCTGGATTTACTGTTTAGTTCGGCCCCTCACGTTTCCATACCACTCCCACAACACCTCAAACAGGGGGGAAAGAACATTGAGTCCATATAGACCAGAGAGAATCTTTGCATTCTCAAGTTATCCCAGATGCATGTTTTTCAGCTAGGGAGGATGAGCGTCACTAACACATTCACTGTGTGTGTCTCTTCAAACGTTATACACGGAACCTTAAAGCGCTCCCCGCGAAACCAACTCCAGATGGGTTACTGGGGAGGAGGAGGGGAGGGTGGGGGATAATAATACTGTGAGGGGTAGCTCCACAGCTCCACCACTAAAACAGCCCCAACCATGGAGAACGGAACCAATAAAGTCTGGTCAGGATGACCAGGGGGACTTGTTGAGCCTGGATATGCACGTGAACTGTTTCGTAAGGATGGACAGAGATAGAGGTATTGTGTAGAAAGAGGGATTTCACAGACGGATGAGGGAAAAGTGCATAAATTGAGAATATTAGATACAACACCATATTTCTTGTAGGGTTACTTGTCTATGAATGCACGTTGAACATAATAGATTGTGCATCCTTCCTTCTTGAGGTACTCAACTGCTCTAAATCACATACAATGGTCATTTGAGTGAAGCCTGTCTCTCCAGTGCCAATAATGATTTTAAATATTGTACTGCACAGCTCTAAATAAAGAGTTTGTAGCTCTTATACTGAACATAGCTTTACAAAAAACAATCAAGTTAATTGGATGTGTCTTCTGAAATACCTGACCATAGGCGAAGGATGTAAGAAAGTTGTCCTGTAAAAGTTTGTGTATATAATAGTTAGATCAGCATAATAAATTGCATATTTCTCCTCTCAAAACAGATGTCTTGATTGGAGTTCGGTAGCCTAAGTAAATGACACATACATGTCTATATTTCAGGTAAATTAAAAGGGGAGTTAAGGTTATCCACGTCACTTTCTTTTTTACAACATAGAAAAGTGTTGACAACTTGGGAAAGGGGCATTCCGAACTGACTCACCTATGATTTTCTCCTGGTAGCCCTTGGTGAAGAACTGCATGGCAGTCGCGGCTCTCCACGGAGTTTTTAGAAGTCCCTGTCTTTGCGGGTCCTCCCCGAGACCCCGGAGAATAGTGGTGTAGGCAGCAGCAAGACTAGGCAAGCTCATCTCATTGTCTTCCATACTTCGGGTGCGCTCATGCTTCCAGCCCTCTACCACGGAGGACCCTGTGTGCGAACTCGACTCACCGGCCGTCCCCGTCCCTTGAGACAGGCCTACCAAGGTCCGGTTGTCTTTTTTTACCAAGCCGTCAATGTGTCCGTTTATTGAACGTTCGTTTGTAGTCTGTCTACTGTCAGCTTCATTCTCGTGACTCTGTTTTGAGCGCTCCATAGTTCAGAATTGACGTAAGGTCTTTTCACTTTTGGAGGATGCGCTTTGCAGTGTTTTCGCTTCGTGGACGCAGCTTTGTTTTGAGTGCACCACCTGCAGAGTACACTGCAGTCACCTGAACGTATCAAAGTACATGAAGCACTCTCAGACGATGGTACCCCATGGCTTTATAAACGATATAATACTCGTGCATTTCTATTGGTCGAGAATTTTTAGGACGTCACGTTCTGTCAGTTGTATGTAAGCCAATGGAGAACATTGCCTGGCTACCCAAACTCCTTTCTCCAGCCAAACGCTACGCCACAACCCACGGATGTTAGTTTCTTCTCTGCAATGAGTCTGGCTCTGAGTACCTCCCTGATGATTTCGAGAATGGGAATCCCTTCTAGACCGTCTGATTGGTCCCAGAAACCGATGGGTTGGACCAGAGCCAGAACACATGTGTAAAGCTGCCTTTTGAAAATTCGTCATTGGCTTTGATACTCTGATTGGTTAGGAATCACTGATGACTGTTTTGGCCAATGCCCCTCATTTTGAGGTCACGATAAACCACTTCAATTATGGCAGTCTCTAACCAGGTTTCCAGCCAACCTTTTTATGCTAGTAAAGTACGTCAGATAAAAAACTTCATGCAAGGCCTGATGTTAACAGAACATTTGTCAGTAAGCTTTCCAAATGTTGACAAGGTTATCTTTTTGTGGCGGTAAAATGAATTATGCGAGAAATGTCGGTGGAAACACTTTTATGAGCAAATATTTATATAATAAACATAGTATCAAAGTAAACCTGGAGTCACGTGATGACGTGTTATCCTCCCACTATGACTTGTCAGGAAAGCATGCAGTTTATTAGGCTACAGATGAAATAAATTATGAACTTCACAGGGTGGTAAATATTGAGGGTCTTATTCTGGTGACATGATCATTAATGCTTGGCTGCAGTTTGACAAATAAAAATAAATCTACCTCTTTTGTCCATAATATTCTCATTAGGTAGGCTATACCCACACTGGATCTGCGAGCTGTGGGCTAGAGCGCACATGCCAATGCCAGAGTGGGCACACTCCCTATATAACGCCAATATTTTTGTGAGATGTTTAACTTGTATTTTTTATTCAGTACATGGGAATTTAACCACTAAAGGTATTTTAATGTGCACTAAGTCATCTCGCACAGCCTTTTATCCGCAACAAGTCAATTTGCTGTAAACACATCTCTGGTGGGAAAATGCACATATTGTTTTTATGCGGAATTAAGAATATTCACCAATCAGACTGAAGTATGTAGCAAATGAAAAAGCAACGGAATAATTTAGTTTGAGTCGTCAGGCAATCGAGAACACTCAAATTCTGTATGGATCCGAATATGCCACAGGTAGGTTACTTGGAGGATATTCACTATTCAGTGAATGTACTACTATATGCCATCATATAATAATCAATGTTGTCAAAAGTAGATTTAAGATCACTTGAGTTGATTCATTTGTCAATCTTTGGAAGGTGTATATTTCCAGTGGTAGAAACAGTACGCAAGTGTCATACTTGAGTAATTTTCTATGAATGCCTCTTTACTTTTACTCAAGTAAAAGTCACCCAGTAAAATACTACTTGAGTAAAAGTCTAAAAGTATTTGGTTTTAAATATACTTACGTATCAAAAGTAAATATAATTGCTAAAATATACTTAAGTATCAAATGTATAAATTATTTCAAATAATATTAAATTAAGCAAACCAGATGGCACCATTTTCTTGTTTTATATTTATTTACTGATAGCCAGGGGCACACCAACACTCAGACATAATTTAAAAACAAAGCATTTGTGTTTAGTGAGTCCGCCATATCAGAGGCAGCAGAGATGACATGGGATGTTCTCTTGATAAGTGTGTGAATTGGACCATTTTCCTGTCCTGCTAAGCATAAAAAATTTAACGAGTACTTTTCGGTGTCAGGGAAAATGTATGGCGTAAAAAGTACATTATTTTCTTTAGGAATGTAGTGAAGTAAAAGTTGTCAAACATATAAATAGTAAAGTACAGATACCCCAAAAAACTACTTAAGTAGTACTTTAAAGTATTTTTTACACCACTCTATAGTTCAGTGTTTTTCCTCAAATGCCTTATGTATACCCCCTTCAAGTAAAGTGTTACCGTTACATTCACAATCACAACTAGTGATTGTTATAAGTCTATTCAGTCTCAACACATTTGTTAAAAAACATGTTAAGGCATTTTTAAACAGGTGTCGGTTTCCTTAATGAAACAGATCCTATACCAGACCAAACTGTGATACAAAAAGATTGGAAAGAAGAAAGAAAGGATGGAACATATTTATTTTTATTCAATAGTTGGATACAGTACAATAAAAAAAACAAGTAAATATACTATATTGTTTTAAAAACAATACAAGCTAAGAGGAAATTGGTGAAAAGGACAAACCTAAATCATGATGCTGAACAGAATAACATTTACATGTGCCCTTATCAGTTGCTCTCTTCATGTCACAGCTATTTCAAGTGCTCAGGATATTTCGCTTTGATGCCACCTATGAAATTCCTCTAACTCCCAGGAAAATATCGGAAAATAAATTATTCATCGATGAGGGCTGCATCACAAGCATACCAAACAGTGCTAATGAGACTGTCTGGAAACCTTATGAGACAGACTCCATATTCTGATAAAATATTACACAAAAAAAAATCTGAAAGGTCTCATATTCTGCACCAATCCACAAATGAGCATTATATCATATTTAGCTGTGACCTATAACCCTAACTAAACAGACCTATGGAGCAAAACGTATAAAAATCGGTCCATGATGTGGTCTTATGTTTAATTTTTGTTGAAAGCAAATGCTGAGAGCTTGGCTGAGGTGTCTAAGGGCTTTTTCTTTTTGGCACTGCTCTCATCTGCCTCACTCTGTCCATTCTTGTCTCCCCTGCTCTCTTCTTCTCCTCTCTTTCGTTTTTTCATATCCGCCACGTCTCCAGACTGTCCTTTTGCCCGCTCTGTCCAGGACTGAACAAAAAAGAGAAAACATAAACAGTCTGAAAATCATAATAGATGTAATAGAAAGATTGTCAATATTCACAAAAGAGTCTTAAATTGGAATTCAATTGCAAACCAAATTCAAAATGTGACATTTGTATCATACACAGCTTGACAAAAAAAGCACACGAACACACACAGGGGCCGCGACTCAGCCATGCAGTTTTAAATTGCATCCTGTTATGTGTAATCACTATTGGCAGACAGGGCCACTTCTCGTTCAGCAGCCCGGCAGCCTTTTCTCCGTGTGTTTCTCTCTGGGAAGAGACAAAAGGCCTGGGCTGCGTCCCAAAATGGCACCCTATTCCCTATATAGTGCACTACTTTTGAACAGAGCACAGTAGCGCACTATATAGGGAATGGGGTGCCATTTGGGACGTGCCCCTGGACGTAAATGGAACCGTGATGAGTCATGAAGCGGAGCGCGTGGCGGCGAGGCAGGGCCCACTCTCCGCGTTCTCACAACCTCCCACTCCTATTCTTCACCCCGACTCACTGAATAGTAAATACAAGCCTTAAAATGTGCCCCCGGTCGCCTGCTGTATATTTACTGGCTAATTTACAACCATACACACCAACACACACCCTTTAGGAATCATTACCATAAGATCAATGCACTGTGCCCACTACCCACAACCCTCACACACTGGGTTTCCAAGCAACAGGCATATAAAGCCTCCCTCCCCTCCATCCCTCTCTGATCCCCTTTTCCCCTCCTTTAGGCCGTGTGGAGTGTCCTCCACCCCTCCGCTGAGTGGCTTTGTGTGTGCAGGGTCACGAACATGTCCTTAACACAGGGGAACACGCAGATACGAACGCAGTGTGTGTTTTTGCAGGCTACTTGATCACAAAGGTAAAAGGCAAGTAATAGCAGTATGGAATAGACTGGAGTTTAAGAGGGATAGATATGTGCACAGGGGGCAAGGGGAAGTCTGGATGGCTACAGGTGCCCAAGCACCTGCCTAAATTGTCCACCAATGTGGACAGTGACCCTTCAAATCTGAGTATATTGAAAACCTGTCGGTCTTTTAGAGAGAAGGCAGGTGTGCAGGTCAGAGTCCAAACTGAGCAAAAGCCAGTCAGATCTACCACAAAATATATCCTAGTGAATTACATTCGAACCATGACCCTGCACACAGTGAGGTAGCAGGTAGGTAGACAACTCATTCGAGTTTTAGATGTAGAAAACAGGAGCATCGCAGCTTCCTAACAATACCAACTAAAATAGCACTGGTAGTCAGCTTTACTGAGGTCTCCAACTATAAACATTAACCCCTTTGACCGACTTTAATAATGGACTGGTCAAATCGTCACCAAAACCTTTAGGTCATTAATACCACTCGGTCACACCAGTTGTTAAAGCACACCATCTGGAAAGTAACCTAACCATTTAGGTATTCGGTTCCAAGCCAGCTGATTGGGGAGCACAGTTTGTTTGCAACGTGCAGTGTCTGCAGTCTACCACTGTTTTGTATAGGTTCAACACTTTGGTTACCATTGGAATCCTCATTGGAATCCCATTCAATTTGACATACGTCGCAACGGACTAAATATATTGACGGATATATATATATGATGGATATTTCACATTGAATAGTGTTGTTGTGTATGTATAAGCCCACACCAACACAGATGGGTATAAATATGTATACAGGCTGGGGTTAAGGGAGCGTTAGCCTGGGAATGCTAATTATCACTCATTCCAACGCGTTAATGGAGGGGTTTCGGTGAGGACCACTGACGGTGACAAGATACTTCTTCCATTCCAGCACCTTCCAGGCAAATTTACAATATAAAACCACCTCAATTTGACAGGTTGTCTTTAAAAGGCTTTCTTTAATGGCAAGGTCTTTTGGGAAAATATGTCAGTAATATTTTAGGAATATCAATATTGTACATACTGCAGTAAAGAATATACAATTGTGTTGTACAGGTTAAGAGCTTCCGGCCTTCAAGCAATGTTTTTGGTTTTTCCTTTCAATTAAGACCTAGACAACCAGGTGTGGGGAGTTCCTTACTAATTAGTGACCTTAATTCATCAATCAAGTACAAGGGTGGAGCGAAAACCCGCAGACACTGCCCTCCATGGAATGAGTTTGACACGTGGTGTAGATGAAGGGGAAGAGACAATCGAGACATGGATTGTGTATGTGTGCCATTCAGAGGGTGAATGGGCAAGACAAAATATTTAAGTGCCTTTGAACGGGGTATGGTAGTAGGTGCCAGGCACACCGGTTTGAGTATGTCAAGAACTACCACGCTGCTGGGTTTTTCACTCTCAACAGTTTCCCGTGTGTATCAAGAATGGTCCACCACCCAAAGGACATCCAGCCAACTTGACATAACGGTGGGAACCATTGGAGTCAACATGGGCCAGCATTCCTGTGGAACACTTTAGACACCTTGTAGAGTCCATGCCCCAAAAAATGGAGGGTGTTCGGAGGGCAAAAGTGGGGGGGGGTTGCAACTCACTATTAGGAAGATGTTCCTAATGTTTGTTACACAGTGTATAGCCATTTATTCTTGAAGAATATAACTTTTAAAGGCCTCATGAGCTTACTTAAACCGTCTTACCTCATCAGAATGCAAAATATACGCTTTTTTTATTCCTTCAAAACATGGCTAATACATCATTTAGATCTCATGGATAGTCAGTCCTTGCATCCATAGCTCAATCTATGAATCCCAGATTGCCCCTTTAAGATCATGATAGGGGAGATGGGAGGAGTCTTCGATACAGTGGGAATTTGGATTAACTGTATGTTTAATACAGTTGAAGTCGGAAGTTTACATACACCTTAGCCAAATACATTTAAACTCAGTTTTTCACAATTCCTGACATTTAATCCTAGTAAACATTCCCTGTCTTAGGTCAGTTAGGATCACCACTTTATTTTAAGAATGTGAAATGTCAGAATAATAGTAGAAAGAATGATTTATTTCAGCTTTTATTTCTTTCATCACATTCCCAGTGGGTCAGAAGTTTACATACACTCAATTAATATTTGGTAGCATTGCCTTTAAATTGTTTAACTTGGGTCAAACGTTTCGGGTAGCCTTCCACAAGCTTCCCACAATAACTTGGGTGAATTCTGACCCATTCCTCCTGACAGAGCTGGTGTAACTGAGTCAGGTTTTTAGGCCTCCTTGCTCGCACACGCATTTTCAGTTCTGCCCACACATTTTCTATAGGATTGAGGTCAGGGCTTTGTGATGGCAACTCCAATACCTTGACTTTGTTGTCCTTAAGTCATTTTGCCACAACTTTGGAAGTATGCTTGGCGTCATTGTCCATTTGGAAGACCAATTTGCGACCAAGCTTTAACTTCCTGACTGATGTCTTGAGATGTTGCTTCAATATATCCACATAATTTCCCCAAGGATGAACCAGACTTGTGGAGGTCTACAACTTTTTTTCTGAGTTCTTGGCTGATTTCTTTTGATTTTCCCATGATGTCAAGCAAAGAGGCACTGAGTTTGAAGGTAGGCCTTGAAATACATCCACAGGTACACCTCCAATTGACTCAAATGATGTCAATTAGCCTATCAGAAGCTTCTAAAGCCATGACATAATATTCTGGAATTTTCCAAGCTGTTTAAAAGGCACAGTCAACTTAGTGTCTGTAAACTTCTGACCCACTGGAATTGTGATACAGTGAATTATACGTGAAATAATCTGTCTGTAAACAATTGTTGGAAAAATGTATTGTGTTATGCACAAAGTAGATGTCCTAACCGACTTGCCAAAACTATAGTTTGTTAACAAATTTTAATGACTCCAACCTAAGTGTATGTAAACTTCCGACTTCAACTGTAGATAAGGGGTATCTAAAGGGGTATTTCTGCCTTGTCACATGGGAATAAGGGGTCTTTGTTGTGGGATAAAGATGCTTTCATCGCTTTTAGAGTGTGCTTTTAAATGGCTTTATACTCCAGCAATTTGGATTTGAGATCAAATATTGAATATGAAGCACAAGAACAGAATGTTCTTGGGTGTATTTTGATTCATATGTTTTCAACAGTGTGTTTTGGGTCATGTCTTACTAAAAGGTGACGCTCCGCCATCACATAATGAGTCTGGAGGCATTTTCTTGTACGTGAGCAGAGAAGATGTTCCGGAACACTATTAGAACCAGGTCATTTGAATACACCACAAGTTAATCAAGTAGATCAATAATCTCTCTCACAGACATAAGGTGTCTGAGCACCACGTGTTAATTAAGGAAGCACACACACACACACTTGTGTAAGGTGTCTTACCAGCCGGTCGTCTGCAGACAGGGTCCTGAAGCGGCCCATGGCCTCCTTGATGACGTCAGTCTCCTCCAGCTCTGGGTTGTCAGCCAGGATGATCTTCCTGTTCTCCTCCAGCCACAGCTGGAAGCCCGTCTTGGGACTGACACACACACACACACATTACATTTTCTGTCGTACACCTACTGTCTCATTCACTCTACATCAGTTTCCGTTAAGGGCTCTACACACTCTACGCAGAAAAGTACCTCGAACTACACAGAGAGTGACACAAATGGAGCGCCGTCGCTCCGTTTTGAATGGAATGAAGATGGCCTGTGGTTACAGCCGCTGACCCCGGCACACATGTATGCCAGAGTCTGCATTCGTTTGAATCCGGCCCACTGACTCACCCAATCTCCCCCATCTTTTCAACACTTTACTATCTCTTCAATAAAGCAAAATAATTATGAAAGGAGTGGGACTGCCCCACTGCTTAAAAATCCCTTTAAAAAGAAAAAAATAATGGAATGAAGAATGTTTCCCCCCCCCCCGTTATGATTTTCATACATTTTCTCCGGTGATTGTGATTTTGTACAGTGCTCATTACTCACTTCTTGTTCTCAACATTTTCTGCTGGAGAGGCTGGAGGCGGTGCCTCTGTCTGTTTCAGCCTACACACTGCCGGCTCCCGCTCCTCTGCTGGCTTCTTATTGGCTGCTTTGGGAGCGCTCATGTGCAGCAGTGTAGACTGGGTCTGAAGAAGACAACAGTCCAATGCATTGCACCGTAATGCTTACGTCAACACTGTCACATACGTAAACGCTGTCATACTCAGATCCATTTACTCAGATTCGGATCCATTTATTCCCACACAGCCAAAATATTGGTGGTATTTGATCGCTCAGTCACTATCCTGACATTTCTTAAGCTTTTATCTGACTAGTGTGTTGTACCTTGGTCTTGGGTCTGGGAGCCAGAGGCTTTAGGACAGGCGTTTTGTTCGGTTTCCCCGCAGAGCCGGAGCTGCTCAGCAGAGCAGTGGGCTTCCTGCTGGACGACGTCATGCTGTCCAGGACGTTGGTCACCCTGGGCTGGCCCCCCGCCGAACCCGGCTTCCCTAACCCGCTGCTCACCTGACACAAGTATGAGGGGTCACATGTTAAGTATTTAGCCAGGACTCCCACATTCAATAGCCAATTTTAAGCAAGAAATGTACTCCTCCACTTCCTTTCTAGTAAGTGGTCTCTCTCAATTTTTGGTTTAACCCGCCCCAAAAGCATAAGTGACTTACCTTGAAAGGGTTCACACGTCCCTCTTTGCTTACTGTAAGGAAGGAAAGAAAGAAGGCCAATGTTTAACAATGTATGATAATGTCATGTATAACAAACAGTCATTGCCAAGTATATTATTGGTGTTAACAAGCGCTTCCCTTAGGTTTTGTCTTAGGCGAGGTTGAGGGCACCCTAAAGGGACTTCCTGGAAGCCCCAACATTTAAACGGTAAAGTGTCTAGATGGGGTGCAACAGACTTGAGAGTGTGTGTAGCATACAACCGTGTGTTTATGTACCTATTGGAAACACTTGTTTTTAGATTAATAAGGGTGGCAGTGGACCATTGACTAGTGTATCCAGGAGAACTGAATGCTATTCCATTAGTGTGTACTCACCGGGTTTGGGAGAAGGGTTCTCAGGTGATGCAGCAGTCCCTTTAGCAAAGGGATTGAGACCTACAGGGTAAAGACGAGTCAACATAGATTTTTATACAACAATGCACCTAAACTTTATGTAAACAAGCCTGAAGTTTACTGCCTTAAATGGTGTTGTGTTTATTAGACACCAAATGAATATCTTCGAACCTTTAAGAATTTTTATGAGTACCACTTCAGCGCGGCGGCGGCACCCCTGTACCCGCGGACCCCATGACAGAATGCGTGCAACACTCACACTACTCAAAATCAGACAAATTCACCTTTTTTTGCCTAATAATGATGTTGGCAGAAAACTGCCTCAGTAGGAATGGTAGGCTAAAGACTGTTGTGGGTATTTGGTATTTGGCTGCTCTTCAGTAGCTAACTAGAAATACGTTTAAATGTACACTCAGGGGTGTAATCATTGGTCCAAAAAATGCATCCCATAACATTTTAAAATGGAAATAGCTAATAAAATAGCTATTATAGCCATGATACTGCCTACAATAGCAGCCAATGTGTGGTGTTCAATGTAGCTCTACATGAGACTTTTAAAAACATTATGCAGGGCTTGATATTGCCAGGGTAGAGGTCTGCGCTGGACTGATTTCCTCATCCCACCCGCAGCTTTTCATACCACACCCACTGGCTTTCTGTCCAACTCTCACCTGTTACCGCAAGAACTGGTCCCGGTCACTACAGACCCGCGTCACAGTCGGCCATGACCGGGAGACCCATGAGGCGCCGCACAATTGGCCCAGCGTCGTCCGGGTTAGGGGAGAGTTTAGCCGGCCGGGATTTCCTTGTCCCATCGCGCTCTAGCGACTCCTGGTGGCGGGCCGGGCACCTGCAAGCTGACTTCGGTCACCAGCTGGACAGTGTTTCCTCCGACACATTGGTGTGGCTGGCTCTTGCCCTTCGCCTCTACCGAGTCCGTACGGGAGTTGCAGCGATGGGACAAGACTAACTATCAATTGGATTTACGAAAAAAAAAGAAAAAAACAATTACAAAAATCTTTCAAAAAAGAGAACTGGTCCCGCATAAATAAAAATATATCTTAAAAAAGAGAACTGGTCCCGAACCCAACCGCAGTCCCGCAATGCTAGTTTTCGCATATGTGACGCAGCTCACTTGCCAGCCACGGTCCCAACAATTTTGCATCCTATAGGCAATATCAAAATGCGTAAAAATAACCTAAGAAATAGGTTCAATTACCAGAGATTCTCATGTGGCCGATTTATATTAGGCTATCGGTATTACTGGGCTATATCAGCCAATATGCTAGACTTAGTTTGAAGAGAGCAGAGTTGGAGAGACTTACACTTTCTCTTCAGCTACGTTTTATAGCCTACTTTTTAGCTTTGAATTGGCTCATTCATCCCCCTCCTCTCCCCTGTAACTATTCCCCAGGTTGTTGCTGTAAATGAGAATGTGTTCTCAGTCAACTTACCCGGTAAAATAAGGGAAAAATATAATAATATTCAGACAGACAAATATGGGTGATCAATATTTATTTCTAGGCAATGTAGCAAACTATAGACTAATCATATTTAGGAAGTACATTTCCTTGGAAAGATAACTGCCCCGTGCTTCTCCGCACATGAATAGGCTATAGTCTACTCTATTTAATTGAGACCACACGTACACCTGATCTCGCACGTGTGGCAACTGAATTTGAAGCAGCAAGAATGTTGACAGCGGACACTTGCACTTTCTCTTGAGCTACGTTTTGCATATAGGAAATAACCTACCTTTCAGGGGGAATATTTGCAGGCAGAGACAAGTAAATGGATAATCAATAATTTTTTTAAATTAAAGAGCGCAATGCTCTTCTCACCATGGTAACCTTGTAGCCGCGTTGCGCCTTTTCCTTTTCAATGATGAGATCTAATTAGTTGAGCGGCCTCCACTTCTTATCAATGTTTATTTACAGACACTGTAATAAACTGTAGTCTAATTATATTTAAGTTAATTTCCTTGGAAAGTTGTTACGTGATTCTCCGGCCATGCATAGGCAGTCTACTCTATTTCAATGAGACCACACATACAGTATACTAGGCGCACTTGATCTCGCACGCCCAACTAGGAGAGGAGAGGTATGCTACTGAAGTTGAAGCATCGAATTCTGAGTGTGTGAATAATGCAACAAAGATGTGTTTTTAATACAATAGGTAGGCTAACGCATGCAAAGCAGAAAGACAGCAGTTTCCAAATAATCTGCGGGACCCCAAAAAAATATGTAATACGAAAGTTGTCTGTGTGACTGCCCGCTTTCTGCAGGTCCCACGGGAATCAGCAGGAATGCTGCCCTGATATAACCTGTTTAGCCACTTGTTCTTCAGACAAAGAGGTGACTGAACATGTTGTATTGTTTGATGCAAGAAACAACAAAATAATAAATTTTTATTCCCATACCATTATTATTACAAAGAATCAGACAAAAATGTATGGTACCCTCTACCTATTGGCTTCTTAACTTATTCAAACCCATCTCAAAATACAACACTGCCCCTTTAAAAAGCTCTTTACCTGACTGGCTTTTCAAAGATGGCTCGAAATGTAGGCCTACACGTTTTGTGCTCTTGTAGGAAGCAATCACTCCCCCATTGCTGACCAGAAATTTGACATAATTGGTATAATAACTCACTAACTAGCAAAGAATATGAACAAATGTGCACACGCGGCTACATCTTTGATATCAAAACAAGCACATCTACTCGTGACCGCTCGTGCCGTCAATGCAATAGAGTCCTCCGATGCGCTCTGCCTAATCTTTAACAGTCTAACATAACTTTCTGTGAAGGACTGTATTAGCAGAACAACTCTCTGGCATGTCTGTTTCCATCCTACTACCGTTGCGTAGATCAAAGCATGTGCAGGCAAGAAAGTGTTCTTGCTTAGTTATAGTTTACCAAACGCTGTAGCTAACTACCTTCGTCGTAATGACGCCTTAACTAAGGAGACAACTAGGAAATAGCGGTTATGTGCTTAACTAGCACATACTATTTTGGAAAATGTATTTGGCAAACAGTTTGTTCTCCATTTTCCATAGCCTTTTTCCTCACATCGGTGGTGTTAACGGACAAAGAGGAGCGCTGCCATCCAGCTTAAGGGAGGAAAACAGTACTACGACTACGTGGGGTGGGCCGGAGTGGAGAGCTAGAGATTTTTTCTCCTTGCCCAAGTCCTCTGATTGGCTCAGCTCCAACTTCAGACGGCTGAGTCAAAAACCCCAATGTATCAACTAGAAGCCTATTTTTGCGTATTTTAGGGTAGTTTTTCGTACCAGCATACTATGACCTCAAATTGCATGTATGGTACGCAAAATGCGTGCAGGTTGGCGGGTCTGCGAACGGAAGAAACTGTAAGGGACTACCAATATGAACAGTCATTTTCGCATTCCGTTTTAAAAAGTGTTTTGCTACTGTGTGTCCTAATGAACACTACCCAGATGTTGATTGTTTTGACATGCGGGAGATGGGAGGGGTGGGAGGGGAAATGGAGAGGGATTCCCTCGACTTACGTTGTCTTTTGCTCTCGGCTACGTCCATATGTTCTTCCTGACCCTCCTCTTCCTCCACCTCTTCCTCCTGTGCTTGTCTGTGGCTGCTGTGTTGGCGATCCGCACCCAGCTCACTGCTGCTCTGGGCGTACCTGGAATAACAAACAGATATGATCATGAATCCCAAAATAATTCCTTATCTACACATCATTTTATCTCAACTCATGCAAGTTAGAACATATTTTTGGTTCTTCATGCAAATGATCAGGGCGGTGTTCAGTAGAGAGAAAACATTTTTAAACAAAGTGAAACTGAGTTTCTATATGAATTTCCCCAATAAGAACAGATTATCATTTTCCGTTGCGATACGTTTCGCTACAGTTTGCCCTACTGAACATGACCCATTGGCCATGCCCAGGTGCACACTCACTGCACACTTAAACGTATCAGTTCCTATGTTCAAACAAGGATAGCAATGCAACCCTCACACACTGCTAAGCCAGTTTCAACCAACGCATTATAGTTTAATTTCTCCCAACCATCTTTAAACCAAAAATCATTTTGATTTATTATCACTTTTTCCTAATCAACCATTTTATTTTGTCATTTTCATTATATGACAATCACCAACATATGGTATGCATGTTTTCAAACATACAATAACACAAACAAACACAAATGTACTTACCCAGTGTTGTGTCTGGTGTACTGGAGTGGCTCCTCCTCTTCCTCCTCCTGGGGCTCCTCCCCCTGAAGCTGATTGGCCTTCTCCAGGGCCAGTTCACTGAGGCGCTGGGCTAGAGCCATTCGGCGGGACCGCGAGGCGTAGCGGATGGCCAGGGTCACTACGTTCTGGGTCATTAGCTCGGCCAGTTCCACGCAGCGGAACTCCCGCTCCAGTTTACACGACAGCTGCAGATTGAAAACACCCAATGTATGGATAATTAATAATAGTTCATAATACAGTAATTTAACCAAGGTATCACATACATTTTGTATACGTTCCAAAAGGTTGGTTTTAATTTCAAACCTTTATCACTATGCCTCACATCAAGTCCCTCACAATACCTTTCGACCTTGCATGCATGCATGTGTGTAGGACTTATTTTGATGTGAGCACTCAAAGCTGAGGAAAAGTATTTTCAATAATCCTTTCCTGTGAATACGTTGTTTGTAATTTTGTGCTGAAATGGAACCAAATCCCCAAAGTCCCAACAAAATAAATCGAAATTGGGATTATATTCGACATTCTGTTGCTCTGGAAAGGTTTCTGGGATATCCAATGTAAACTATTCCAAATTCTAATCCCAAACTAGGCTACGGATCTAAGGAGGGTTTCCAGGCTCGGTGGACCCATGAGTTGCTGCTACCGTACTCACGGCAAACATCTTCATGAGCAGCTCCTGCTGTTCTTTCTGGGCCTGGCTCTGACCCTCCTCGTCTATCTCGTAGCCACCGGACGACAGGAAGCCGTAGTGGTTGTGGAGGAGCACCGAGCGCCAGTACTGCTCCTGGAAGGAGAGAGAGGGACAGAGACAGTGAGTGGGGCTTTCCCTTCTGTAGGGCATATGTATAGGTACCTCCCAAAATAAAGGAAACACTTGAGTAAATGAAGGTTCTGGCAGCTCTGTTACGGTGTGGGTGCATTTTCCTGGCATGGTTTAGGGCTACTCAACCCCTTACAGGGCAAGATAAACGCCAATAAATACACAGCCATTCTGAGTGATCATCTTCAACTATGTTGTTGTTTCCTTTATTTTGTGTATGTATACAGGGTCATATATCAAAGAGATATTCAAGGACATTGCTGTTTAAAGGCTATTTGCAGGTTCTACGTAGCTGCAATGGTAGCTCAAGCAACCCAATAGATCAACTATAAAAGTTCTAGGTAGGCAGTGTCTCTCCCAAGGCTGAGCTGACTGGAATAGCATAGCATGACTGTATATGTTGGCCTTACTGACCTCCATCTGGCCCTTCTCTGTGGTGGTCTGACAGAGGGGCAGCTTGAAGGGCAGGACGGCGACGGCAGGCCTGGGCAACGTGGGGGGGTACCGGGACCCTTTACATGGGATACACCTGGAGGAAAGAAGAAGATGAAGAGATAGATTAATTATAGAATACACAAAAAATTTCTATTAGTCTTCGAGGGTCAGAGTCCTGCTGTTTTTCATTCTCTCTCCATCTCATCAGGGAAATCAGTGACATAAATTGATGAATTAATTACCAGGTAGAAAAGAAAACAACGTGACCTAGGGTGGTCTAGCGGTCTAAGCCGCTACCCCAGCACAAGTATGCCAGAGCCGGCATGAGTTCGAATTTGGCCTACTGCTCTCTGACTCCCCCCGTCTTCCCTACACTTTCCTATCTCTTCAATAAAAGCAACAACAAAAAAACGAACAGAGTGCGATTGCACCACTCCTTAAAAAAATACCATTACAAAATCAATTCAAAAAGTCAAATAATCAATCCAGCAGTTGTAAAGGGACGAGGGCCAATAGTTGAATAGCCCTATTCTATGGATGAGAGCTGGACAAGAAAAAAGGAGACTTGATCTCATCTGTAACTACTGGTATCTCAGACAAATTTGAATAAACCTGAATAGGAAAACACGGAACGAAGAAAGAGAGAGAGAAGGAAAAAGGAATGACAGATGAAGAACAAGAAGAGAAGGATGACAGAGGGAAGAGAGTTTTACCTGAGCTGCTGGGGGTTCTCGTGCACTCCCACCACCCAGTAGTGGTCTGACTTGCCCTTGCAGTTGTCCCTGGTGTTACACACAGGCGTCCATGTGTTTCCCAGGGAGCGGTTTAGCAGGCGCACCACGCCCTCAGAGTCGATGAAGCATGGGGTGCCTGGAAATCAACCAGTGGTTGAAACCTGATGAGACTAGAGTACTGATTTGGAATAAGTGATGTGCAAGTGATTGTTGGCTCTGTACACTGATCAGTTTGGTGTTTTCCCCACTGATGGTTAAGGTAAGGATCTGGGGAGAGCAGGCTGATCCTAGATCAGTGCCTAGGGCTGTTGCGGTGATCGTATTACCGCCACACCGGCAGCCATGACTGCAGTATAATTCCACGTGACCGTTGAGTCACGGTAATCTCCTCTTATGCACTCTGGACATGCTTACTATACCCAACATGCTAATGACCATCAGGTCCTAATGGCCTGGTACTCAGGGCTCTATTGTCCCTCTAACCACTCTGATACCAATGCAAATGTATCGAAAATCACATCAAACACTTATCATCAAAACAGTATCCTGCTTTTAAAACTCACCTCACTATGATGATCAATTTGAAGAAAGAAGTTCAACAGCATGTTGAAACGGAGTGTAAAACATGGTCATTGTAGATGTCGTTTCAAAGCCTAACACAACGAAATGGACAGCACTTTCTAAGGTGACGATTAATTCAAAACCACCATATGCATATTAGAGCTTACATTATGCATACACATAGGCTTATAAACCCAAGCCCAAAAACATTACCTGAATTAAAATGATGATTGAGCTGTTATACAACACATAGCCTACCGCATATTATGCATGGCAGAAAAACATAAAACAAAACTGATTTAAGATGTCTTTGATACATAATTGGTCTAGCCTTTGAGTGTGGACTGTATTATTATGCATACTGGATGGACTGGTTACCTTATGCTACGCTCCAAAATGTATATCCATGAGTCTGGGAGAGAATGTATAGCCCTAGGCGATGCTGCTGGTTCATTGATTGTGCAGGGTGATTTTGAATAGTCTAGTAAAATCGGGCATTTTTTATATTTTCTTAATTAATTGGGTGACATTACCTTCAGCTATACAGAATATCCACCACCATGCATTTCCATCTCCTCCTCTCTCTCCTTTATTCCTTTCTCGAGCGCGCAGAAGGGCTGTCAACAGTTTAATGAAATATGTTTCGTTGCGAAAACGTTATTATCGATGTTCCGGAACAGATTTCAGTTGGTTTCCCAAATGAAGCACTGGGTAGCTGTAGGAACAGGGTTGGAGAGCCCATGGCATACAGAGGTTGGACGGAACGTCATCGTCGCGCAGCGAGAGCACGCTCCTCAAACAGTGGTTGATGTGTGGAGTGAAATAAGTGTTCTTATATTTATTTCTCAGCTGCTCATAAATTGTATCCTACCCATCATCATCATTGAAAAACAGACTGGTGGGAATGCGAGCGGCCTCCATTCGGTATTCCAGTGCATACAGATGACGTCTTTTTCCCCCTGCCCCCGTTCCTGCCCATTTGATAATGGGCCATTCTAAATCAAAACTATTTCACATATTAGTAAAGACAATATGAAATTGAGAATATTCTGATGGGTGAAAATATGATCACTTGATGAGAGAACAGCTGTGCAGTTGAGGCAAGGAACAGAGCGCAAGCATTTCTTTGCTACTTTCTCAAATCATCAATAGCCTATAGCCATGTATGTTTTGATTTCTAAGACATTCTAAGATTTGTATCATTCACAACTAAAGTTGCCAAATAAATCTAAATCTAGCATACAGGACCTGTTTCAAATGATCACTTTTACGCTCAACATAGCCACTTCATATGACCACTCGCTCCGGAATGGGAAAAAGATCCTTTCCATTTTCTTCAGCTAAGTTCAATTATATTCTTCCTACTATAAAATCATAATATAAATTGGCATGGGACTTATAAGCATATCTTGTCAGCTAAATGAACAAGCCTACAGCCAATGACATGGAGCATAGCCAGATAACATACAGTAGGCCAACTCAAATTCTGTTCTTCTGAAATACATTTTCTTCATATAGACCTCACTAAAATATATAATGGATTTATTGTGATGGTGTCTATTCAATTGATTTATTAGACTTTTTTAAATGTAGATGTTGCAAAGGCGCGCATCAGCGGCTTGTACGCGTGGAGGCCTGGAGATACTAAACGTGTTTAGGTTATTTAACAGTCAATTACCGTGGCAGTCTTTTACATGATAATAACTGGCTGACAAAAATGTCATGACCTGCCACAGCCCTATCTGTGCCTACGGGCAACTTCTAACAGGGTTATGTTCAGTAGATGTGCAAGGAAAGGAAGTTGAGGTAGTACCACCTCGGTTTCAAAGTCTCGTCTGCCCTTGTACAATAACAACAATCCTTTTGTTTTCTGTTTCAAAACCTTACCTGTTTTTTTTTTTAACAGGACCCTGGCTGGTGGAAGTTGCTGACAGATCTAGGATCAGCCTGCCCGCCCCAGATCCTTACAAGGGTTTAATACCGGTGACCTGTATCCCGGGACTTCCCAAACAAGCTCCTTCCCGTTTCCCGAGGAAAATAATGACTCATCCCCATGGACCAATTATATAAATGTTCTGCAGCACTAACGCAAAAAATACAAAACATACACGTGTGAATAGCTGCATGCATTACCCGGACATATCAACTCTCTGGCTTCAATCATAGCCCACATTAGACCAGTCATAACAACGCCAGAAGCCTACCACATTTAGCTTACTCAACGTAAAGTCCCCAATAGAAAACATCACTTACTTGCATGACTTCTATAAAACTGCATTGCTGACTATCACGTAGGCTACACGTGGCCTCTCGACTCAGTTACTGAAGGCAATCTCCATGTCACATTCACACATCTCCAAACTATCTTTGTGGAGGCTCAAAATATAAACGGCAGCTACTCGCTGTTAACAAAACGGCTGGTACATTGCGTCTACAAACACGCTTGAGGAAATAGACATTTGCAACATTGTCCCATGATGTTACACTGAAAAAAAGCGAGTGCACATGCTTGACTCGTCAGATTCCCAGGGATTTGATCAACCGCGGTGCTATCCATGGTGCTGAATCTCCACTACTAGGCCTATTTGCTTGTCGGTTTGTTTAGCGGAGAATCGGATATGATCCCTGTGACAAAGTCACCACAATAAGCGGTAAAGTAAAAAAACAGCCACAACCAAATCTCAACGGTAGCCAAATGCAAGGGGAGAGAAAAAGGGCCAACAAGCTGGCTGACTTCTTTCAGCCAAAGGTAAGATATAACAAATGTATTTTTCACTAGGCTGTAGGCTAATATCATCATATTTTAGGTCTACATTTAAAACTAGGCTACATCAACAAATTGTGTGTTGACTTTGACAGAACTTTGAGCTGATAAAATTGTGACAAATACAACAAAAAAACTAACCAGATTCCTGTCCATATTTCTCCATTTACAGTGGTAAAATTATGTCAGATTTTTTTTGCTGGTACTATATGCTTTTAAATAGCATTTCTGATTTGAACAGGAATACCGGAATATTACCGGGATGGTTGCAATTTTCTCAGGAAGGAAAATGTGTAGATTACCTTAACCATCAGTGTGGAAAACGCCAAACTGATCATAGGTCAGTGTACAGAGTCAACTTCATTCTACAATCTCTTTTTGAGAGCAGCCAGCGTTTGAGAGGAGGCGTGGCCTGACTCACCCTCGGCTGTGAAGCCCAACCATGATAGGTGGGATTTGGGGGAGAGGGGGAGGGACTCCCCGTGGATGACCTGCTGTCTCTTGTGTCCAAACTGCAGCAGCTGGACCCCAAGGGCCTGTTCTCCGTCAAACCCTGTGCCTGAGGATGGACAAACACAATAGCGATTAGATATGCCCTCTCAGAAGTCGAGCTACATCACCCATCATCCCCGTGTCAGAACTACATCACCCACCATCCCCGTGTCAGAACTACATCACCCATCATCCCCGTGTCAGAACTATATTACCCATCATCCCTGTGTCAGAACTACATCACCCATCATCCCCGTGTCAGAACTACATTACCCATCATCACACCTCTAAGAGGATTTTGACTCTGTTTAGCATCTGATGCTTGTTTTCTCTGTGTGTGTGCATTAGTATGTGTGTTGGTCCGTCTGTGTGTGACAGCGCACACACACACACACACACACGTCCTACCTCGGTGGTAGACGATGAGCAGTTGCTCCCCGTGCCCAGCCATGCAGACCACGGGTCCGGGCAGGCTGAACAGCTCCCTCTGCACCCCTCCGATGGAGAAGAGACGCAGCATGAGGGTGCTGGTGGCGGCCGCCGCCCAGCCCTGGCCCAGGCATAGGGCCCGCACGTCCTCCCCCTTGGGCAGATCCACCATCCACTCCTTGTTGGTGTCCCACGACGAGAAGTGGAGGCACTGGAGCTTACTGTGGAGGGGGAGAACAGGAGAGGGAGAGAGAGATTCAGTGAAGCGGCTTGGGTTCCGTTTGAAAAAATGGGTAATCAATTTCAGTGTTCTTCGCTAGATTGTGGTGCCAATAGGGAGGGGGGGAGGGGGGACATAAAGCTCCACAGAAGCAATGGTGGGGGGGACACTAATCTCAGAACCCAGAGTTTTCACGGTCTGTCACGAGAGACTAGGGGAATATCGAAATTGATTTCCCTTATTTAATCCTTCAAGATGCACAAAGTTGGTCGAGAACCAGTTTGGCTAATAAAACTCAGGCAAACCTCATGTGGGAAAGATATCCCCAGAAACACGAATAGCTAATATCTAAATGTCCCAGTTAAGGCCGCTAAAAACTTCACGCAAACAAAGCGTCTTATACAGTCCCTTCCAAAATGTGAGCCTCACAAAAGTACGTATAACTACGTGTGAAAAAGATGCTCCGTCACAGCATTTGCGTGAAGTGTATAGCGGCCTTAAGATATGTGGTCTACCTGGCGAGCTCGTCAGTGCCGGGACAGGCGAGCAGCACGGCCTCCTGGGAGAGGTCTGCCACGGTGTGGCCCAGGGAGTTGGTGAGGTGCATGGCATGGTGCACGGCTGTGTCGTGGAACTCCACGTCGATGGCGTTGTCCTGGTCGTCATTGTAGCCACGCACGATTCCCACCGAGTTCCACATCTGACAGAAGGAGTACAGAATACATTATCTCTGGGTTAGGCGGCTTTGCGGATAAACTCACTTTGACTACTTTCGAGGTCTGAAACCATCCGACAAACAAGTCGATTATTGGATTGCAATGTCCCTTTAATAGGGCTTACGGCATTTAAGTACATCTCTAGACAATTCATGAAACAACTCGTTATGTTCTATATTTATACAGAACCATCAACTTTAAAAAAAAATAAGCCAAACTGGAACATCATTAATATAAACCTTTCAGGCAAGAGTAAAGCCTGAGATGTGTGGCTGGGTCTCACCATGAAACGATGCATGAGGTGTGCCGGGGTGGAGCCTGGCTGGAAGGCCTTCTGTGGTGGGGTGGGCATGGGCCCCTCGTAGACGGGCCGGAGGGGAGCAGCCGAGCCAGCGGGGGGCACTATGGCGCTGCCCGCGTCGTCATCGTCACCAAATTTCTCCAGCCCTGGTTTGAGCGAGCCTGTGTCTGTGGGAAATGGGAACACATGCAATACAGCTCAGTGATGCGCAGATGTTTAAGTGATCCCAGTCTTGAATTAGGATGACAAGGAAAGAGCAATTATGTACTTGTTAATAAGATACAAGACTACTTTGGTACAATTGATGGGATGTATTGTTTCTCAGTGACTTTCCCACAATTAAAGCTGGAATCCTTAATGGTGAAACTGCCACGTCCTTTTGGGAAATTACAACAAAAAAATAAGTTAATACAAACAAACATGGTTTCTTTCCCCCTAAGACATCATTGCACTGCAATAGAACAGCAGAATATGCACTGCAATTTTTTTGACCCCGCTGCTCACCTCAGTTTCATCAACAAAACAATTACAAAAGGGCTGGGGGCGAACAGTGGCACCATTTCCCCTAATGCGGACTCCATCTTTAAATTATATGGCAAAGCCCTCATGGGATTGTTTCAATGTCAGTGAAATGCCTTTCTTGCAAACGCAAAACCCAACAATGCAATAATCAATAACAATGTATTACTAGAAAAAAACACATGATAAATAAGAATAGTCATAAGTGGCGCCGGAGAAGATGGCTGCCGTTTTACAGCCCACTAACCAATTGTACTATTGTGTGTGTTTTTCCGCGTTATTTGTAATTTATTTTGTACATAATGTTTCTGCCATCGTCTCTTATAACCAAAAAGAGCTTCTGGATATCAGGACAGCGATTACTCACCTCGTATTGGACGAAGATATTTTCTTCAACGAGGCGGCCGCGAAGGATATCCTACAGACACCCGACAAGGCCCAAATCCCTGTCATTCGCATGAGGAAGAGACTGAGATATCGTGGACGTAGGTCGGGGTGCCTTGTAAGGATTCCGACGGCGAGTGAGTAAACTGCCGCTCCCATCAATCCTATTAGCCAATCTTCAATCATTGGAGAATAAATTGGATGACCTAAGATTACGGTTATCCTACCAACGGGACATTAAAAACTGTAATATCTTATGTTTCACCGAGTCGTGGCTGAACGACGACAAGGATAACATACAGCTAGCGGGCTATACGCTACATCGGCAGGATAGAACGTCTGACTCCGGTAAGACAAGGGGTGGCGGTGTATATTTGTAAACAACAGCTGGTGCACAAAATCAAATACTAAGGAAGTCTCGAGGTTTTGCTCGCCTGAGGTAGAGTATCTTATGATAAGCTGTAGCCCACACTATTTACCAAGAGAGTTTTCATCTATATTTTTCATAGCTGTCTATTTACCACCACAAACCAATGCTGGCATTAAGATTGCACTGAATGAGCTGTATAAGGCCATAAGTCAACAGGAAAACGCTCATCCAGAGGCAGCGCTCCTAGTGGCCAGGGACTTTAATGCAGGGAAACTTAAATCCGTTCTACCTAATTTCTACCAGCATGTTAAATGTGCAACCAGAGGGAAAAAAACTATAGACCACCTTTACTCCACACACAGAGATGCATACAAAGCTCTCCCTCGCCCTCCATTTGGCAAATCTGACCATAACTCTATCCTCCTGATTCCTGCTTATAAGCAAAAACTAAAGCAGGAAGCACCAGTGACTCGGTTAATAAAAAAGTGGTCAGATGACGCAGATGCTAAGCTACAGGACTGTTTTGCTAGCACAGACTGGAACATGTTCCGGGATTCTTCAGATAGCATTGAGGAGTACACCACATCAGTCACTGGCTTCATCAATAAGTGCATCGATGATGTCGTCCCCAAAGTGACCGTACGTACATACCCCAACCAGAAGCCATGGATTACAGGAAATATCCGCACTGAGCGAAAGTGTAGAGCTGCCGCTTTCAAGGAGCGGGACTCTAACCCGGACGCTTATAAGAAATCCCGCTATGCCCTCCAACGAACCATCAAACAGGCAAAGAGTCAATACAGGACTAAGACTGAATCGTACTACACCGGCTCTGACGCACGTCGGATGTGGCAGGGCTTGAAAACTATTACAGACTACAAAGGGAAGCACAGCCGCGAGCTGCCCAGTGACACAAGACTTCCAGACGAGCTAAACCACTTCTATGCTCGCTTCGAGGCAAGCAACACTGAAGTATGCACGAGAGCACCAGCTGTTCCGGATGAATATGTGATCACGCTCTCCGTAGCCGATGTGAGTAAGACTTTTAAGCAGGTCAACATTCACAAGGCCGCAGGGCCAGACGGATTACCAGGACGTGTACTCCGAGCATGTGCTGACCAACTGGCAAGTGTCTTCACTGACATTTTCAACATGTCCCTGACTGAGTCTGTAATACCAACATGTTTCAAGCAGACCACCATAGTCCCTGTGCCCGAGGACGATAAGATAACCTGCCTAAATGACTACCGACCCGTAGCACTGACGTCTGTAGCCATGAAATGCTTTGAAAGGCTGGTCATGGCTCACATTATCCCAGAAACCCTAGACCCACTCCAATTTGCATACCGGCCCAACAGATCCACAGATGATGCAATGATGCAACACCTCCCTCTGCAACTGGATCCTGGACTTCCTGACGGGCCGCCCCCAGGTGGTAAGGGTAGGTAACAACACATCTGCCTCACTGATCCTCAACACGGGGGCCCCTCAGGGGTGCGTGCTCAGTCCCCTCCTGTACTCCCTGTTCACCCATGACTGCATGGCCAGGCACGACTCTAACACTATCATTAAGTTTGCCGACGACACAACAGTGGTAGGCCTGATCACCGACAACGATGAGACAGCCTATAGGGAAGAGGTCAGAGACCTGGCCGTGTGGTGCCAGGATAACAACCTCTTCCTCAACGTGACCAAGACAAAGGAGATGATTGTGGACTACAGGAAAAAAAAGAGGACTGAGAATGGGGGCGTGATCATCGACGGGGCTGTAGTGGAACAGGTTGAGAGCTTCAAGTTCCTTGGTGTCCACATCACCAACGAACTATCATGGTCCAAACAAACCAAGACAGTCGTGAAGAGGGCACAACAAAGCCTATTCCCCCTCAGGAGACTGAAAAGATTCGGCATGGGTCCTCAAAAAATTATACAGCTGCACCATCGAGAGCATCCTGACTGGTTGCATCACCGCCTGGTATGGCAACTGCTTGGCCTCCGACCGCAAGGCACTATGGAGGGTAGTGTGTACAGCCCAGTACATCACTGGGGCCAAGCTTCCTGCCATCCAGGACCTCTATACCAGGCGGTGTCAGAGGAAGGCCCTGAAAATTGTCAAAGACTCCAGCCCCCTAGTCATAGACTGTTCTCTCTGCTACCGCACGGCAAGCGGTACCGGAGTGCCAAGTCTAGGTCCAAAAGACTTCTCAACAGCTTCTACCCCCAAGCCATAAGACTCCTGAATAGCTAATCATGGCTACCCAGACTATTTGCACTGCCCCCCCAACCCATCTTTTTACGCTGCTGCTACTCTGTTAATTATTTATGCATAGTCACTTTAACTCTACCCACATGTACATATTACTTCAACTACCTCAACTAGCCGGTGCCCCCGCACATTGACTCTGCACCGGTACCCCCCTGTATATATAGCTTCCCTACTGTTATTTTATTTTACTTCTGCTATTTTTTTCCTCAACACTTTTTTTGTTGTTTTATTCTACTTTTTTTAATTAAAAATAAATGCGCTGTTGGTTAAGGGCTGTAAGTAAGCATTTCACTGTAATGTCTGCACCTGTTGTATTCGGCACATGTGGCCAATCAAATTTGATTTGATTTGAATAAGAAATATGAAATACAAGTAAGTAAGCATACTATATACAGGAAATATTGAAAAATTCAGTTACAATACCATATTTACATGTGCAGGGATACTGAAGTTATGAGGTAGATACAGTGAGGGAAAAAAGTATTTGATCCCCTGCTGATTTTGTACGTTTGCCCATTGTCAAGAAATGATCAGTCTATAATTTTAATGGTAGGTTTATTTGAACAGTGAGAGAAAGAATAACAACAAAAAATCCAGAAAAACACATGTCAAAAATGCTATAAATTGATTTGCATTTTAATGAGGGAAATAAGTATTTGAACCCCTCTCAACCAGAAAGATTTCTGGTTCCCAGGTGTCTTTTATACAGGTAACGAGCTGAGATTAGGAGCACACTCTTAAAGAGAGTGCTCCTAATCTCAGCTTGTTACCTGTATAAAAGACACCTGTCCACAGAAGCAATCAATCAATCAGATTCCAAACTCTCCACCATGGCCAAGACCAAAGTGCTCTCCAAGGATGTCAGGGACAAGATTGTAGACCTACACAAGGCTGGAATGGGCTACAAGATCATCGCCAAGCAGCTTGGTGAGAAGGTGACAACAGTTGGTGCGATTATTCGCAAATGGAAGAAACACAAAAGAACTGTCAATCTCCCTCGGCCTGGGGCTCCATGCAAGATCTCACCTCGTGGAGTTGCAATGATCATGAGAAGGCAGCTGGGACCATAGTCACCAAGAAAACAATTGGTAACACACTACGCCGTGAAGGACTGAAATCCTGCAGCGCCCGCAAGGTCCCCCTGCTCAAGAAAGCACATAAATAGGCCCGTCTGAAGTTTGCCAATGAACATCTGAATGAGTCAGAGGAGAACTGGGTGAAAGTGTTGTGGTCAGATGAGACCAAAATCGAGCTCTTTGGCATTAACTCAACTCGCCGTGTTTGGAGGAGGAATGCTGCCTATTACCCCAAGAACACCATCCCCACCGTCAAACATGGAGGTGGAAACATTATGCTTTGGGGGTGTTTTTCTGCTAAGGGGACAGGACAACTTCACAGCATCAAAGGGACGATGGACGGGGCCATGTACCGTCAAATCTTGGGTGAGAACCTCATTCCCTCAGCCAGGGCATTGAAAATTGGGTCGTGGATGGGTATTCCAGCATGACAATGACCCAAAACACACGGCCAAGACAATAAAGGAGTGGCTCAGGAAGAAGCACATTAAGGTCCTGGAGTGGCCCTAGCCAGTCTCCAGACCTTAATCCCATAGAAAATCTGTGGAGGGAGCTGAAGGTTCGAGTTGCCAAACGTCAGCCTCGAAACCTTAATGACTTGGACAAGATCTGCAAAGAGGAGTGGGACAAAATCCCTCCTGAGATGTGTGCAAACCCGGTGGCCAACTACAAGAAACATCTGACCTCCGTGATTGCCAACAAGGGTTTTGCCACCAAGTACTAAATCATGTTTTGCAGAGGGGTCAAATATTTATTTCCCTCATTAAAATGTAAATCAATTTATAAAATTTTTGACATGCTTTTTTTCTGGATTTTTTGTTGTTGTTATTCTGTCTCTCACTGTTCAAATAAACCTACCATTCAAATTATAGACAGATCATGTCTTTGTCAGTGGGCAAACGTACAAAATCAGCAGGGGATCAAATACTTTTTTCCCTCGCTGTATGTATAGGGGTAAGGGGACTAGGCAAAATGATATAAAATAAACAGAGTAGCAGCAGCTTGTATGTGAGTGGGTGTGCGGGTTTGTAGATATGTAGGTATAAATGTATGTGCATATTATGTGAGTGCGCAAATGGAGTGAGTATTTGAGTGCGTGTTGGATTGACAGTGTGTGAGTGTGTAGGGCCCTGTGAGTGTAAAGATAGTCATCAGTCATATTGCTTGGGGATAGAAGCTGTTCAACAGCCTGTTGGTGTCAGACTTGATGCACTGGTATCTCTTGCCGTGCGGGCCTTCTTTTCAAACCGCCTGATATAGATGTCCTGGATGGTAGGGAGCTCGGCACCAGTGATTTACTGGGCTGTCTGCACAACCCTCTGTAGCGCCATGCGATTGAGGGTGGTGCTATTGCCATGCCAAGCAGTGATGCAGCCAGTCAATGTGCTCTCAATGGTACAGCTGTAGAACCTTTTCAGGATTTGAGGGCCCATGCCAAACTTTTTCAACCTCCTGAGGGGGAAGAGGCGCGGTCACGCCTTCATCACGACTGTGCGTTTGGACAATTTTAAGTCTTTCTTGATTTGGACACCGAGGAACTGGAAGCTGTCTACCTGCTCCACTGCCGCCCACGTCGACTTTCCTGTAGTCCACGATCAGCTCCTTGGTCTTGCTGACGTTGAGGGAGAGGTTGTTGCTCCGGCACCACACTGCCATGTCACTGACCTCTTCCCTGTAGGCTGACTCATCCTCGCAGGTGAACAGGCTTACCACCATCGTGTCATCAGCGAACTTGATAATGGTGTTGGAGTCGTGCGTGGCCACACAGTCGAGGGTGAACAGGGAGTACAGGAGGGTACTAAGCACGCACCCCTGTGGGACCCCTGTGTTAAGGGTCAGCATGGTGGAGGTGACGTTGACTACCCTCACCACCTGGGGTGACGGAAGTAGTTAGCTCGTCGATGTTATCGGCGGAGTCTCTAAACATATTCCAGTCAGCGCTAGCAGAGCAGTCCTGTAGCATACCCTCTGATTCTGGTGACCATTTCTTAACGGAGCGAATTGCGGGTACTTCCTGTTTCAGCTTCTGCTTGTAAACAGGAAGCAAGAGTACGGAGTCATGATCTGATTTGCCAAATGGCGGACGAGGGAGGTCATTGTATGCTTGCTTGTGGGTAGACTAGAAGTGATCTAGGACTTTATTACCCCTAGTGGCGTTGGAGACGTGTTGATGGAAGTTGGGCATCACGTGTCTTAGTGAAAGGCAGCCTCTGGGTGTAGGGTTTCCTGCTTGTTTATAGCCTTGTATAGTTCGTTAAGAGCCAGCTTGTTATTTTTATTGTCCTAAGTTGGAATGTATACAGCAGTCACGATAACAGCTGAAAACTCTCTCGGGAGGTAGAAGGGTCGGCATTTGACCATCAGGTATTCCAAGACTGGCGAACAGTGGGTCGACACTTCCACTGCGCTGGAATTAGCACACCAGTTGGGAGTTGATGGAAGAGGCAAACCACTTGCAAGACAGAGTTAGAAAGTCTAAGGAAAGGGCTACATATCTGAAGAGAATAAGTGTCTGTATTTAATGAATGAAATACTTTAGCCATGCATGGTTTATTGCAGTGTTTGGTTTTATCTAAATGAAAAGCTCAAATAATTGCTGTTATAGAAGACGAGCCAGTTATGATTAGCTATGATACTTTGATCAGCTATGTGAAATCAAATTCCTACGTTCTGTAGACAATTACTTTTTTCTATTCATTCCAAGACCCATGATGAAATGACAGGTACGGCTAGAGAAACTAGTACCAGGAGACAAGCCGTCATTGTCTATTTTTCCTCTGGAACATTATCATACTATGTAACACTGTACATCAATCAATATTTCGACAACTTGGATAACTTTCCCTATCTGGGGATGGTTTGTTTTGAAGAGTGCCAAGTTCACACGTCCGTTGTTGTCTCAAAACTACTTCACCGTAATGCGTTGTGGTGTCGCATAATGAACTATCAGTGCAGACAGTCGTACTATTCGACGTAAAAAAAACTAAAACAATGAACATCGCTTTCTCACCTAGTGAGTTCTCGTCGTCGAGGAAGGCACTCCTGTTCCGTGCTCGCCCCGTGGCAGGCATGAGGTCGTCGTCATCGTCCTCAGGGTTATTGGCGGGTGAACGGGCGCCCTCGCTGACACCCTCGTCCATGGGTCCGTTGTCGTCATCGTCGTCGAAAAGATTGTCGTAGCTGGCTGGAGCCTGCTAGAGTAGAATAAAGATCACTCCCAAAGTCAGCATGTCATTGGGAAAGACAACCTGTTCTCAATAACACTAACCTGGTTCAATCCTGGTTTTAAAATAACATAGAACTGTGGAATAGACCTCAAGATCTCTTTAAAATAGAGGTGAACGAAACAAAGAAACATGGCAAATACTAATATCATCAACATTGACATAGCTCTGTAGACTAAGCAGATCGAGCACAACATGAAATGGTCCAAGAAGACCATGTTTGGGGTCAATTCTGCTAAATGTGGTCCTCTGTAGCTCAGCTGGTAGAGCACGGCGCTTGTAACGCCAAGGTAGTGGGTTCGATCCCCGGGACCACCCATACACAAAAAAATTATGCACGCATGACTGTAAGTCGCTTTGGATAAAAGCGTCTGCTAAATGGCATATTATTATTATTATTATATATATTATATAAATAAAACACACAGTATTAAGTGTACCGATCCCAATATTGGTTAGAAGTTAGTTAGCAGGGGCACATTTGGGTGGGATAAAGAAGCCTCCATGTAAGACCAGAGACTCACCTTGGTGCTCTTTGCAGCGGTAGTGGAGGAAGACATTGAAGAAGAGGAGAGCCCATCCAGCACGCCCAGACAGCCCTCTGTGTCGGTGTAGGCTATTTGACCGCCCGAAGGATGCCAAGCCAGTCCACACACGGTGTAGCCCTTCTCATGCTTCTGCCTGCCAAATGGACAAAAAATCAATTTCAGTGGATTCAACTTTCAAATACTTGAGTATTGGATTGAGTCCTACCTGGAGATGGGGTGGGTTATTGGTACTAGGGATGTTAACGGTTAACAATTAAATACGAAAATACATTTGACCAGTCATGCCTATCGGTCTATAGGTCATTTGCATAATTTAGAGGAATTCAATTGGCGCTTGTGTATTTTCGTTAGTTGTCATGTATCTTATTTATCACATGCGCACAACATACAGAGCGCCTAGTTTGAGGAGCGGAATAGCCTATCACCGGTCAGAGCACGAGAGCACCTCCTCAAAAAGATGGTACTGGAGTGAAACATGTTATAAGCCCAGCCCCTTGTGCAACAACAGCTGCTTTATTACAGGAGATTGCATTTTCAATAATGTGCTATAGCCTTTAGACTGTAAGACGATAGGCCTGCTATTGTTGCATGTTTCCATTAAAAGTGGAACTGACAGCGTTCTAGCAACATCTTATTAAAATCTGTTCATATTTACCTTCAGGAAGATTTTTTTTTTTTACATTATCTGACAAGCGAGCACTTAGATATATGGTCATTTTCATGTTTTTATTATTTCATATAAAGTTTGAGAATGATGTATAGTAAGGCATGTGAAAATTCTATAGCAATATAAAGCAGGAAAACGGCTGTGCATTTGGACAATTAATAGACAGTAAATAAAACCAAATAAAACCATTATCTTGTCCAGGACCGGAGTCTATGCAGACCGGTGCGCCATAGCCAATCAGTGCTACAGTAGGCCTATTTGAAAATAACCCATTTGCCACACAGGCCTGCCATCATTCACTTTGAACTGGACTGTGTGTTTACAGGCAGTAGTAACAGCGCGACTTTAGATCAATAGAACGCGTTCGCCAAAAACCAAAATACACCTGAATGGATTTCTGCAAATACCACAGTAGTCCTCTTACATTTGGGAACTTCACAGTCCTATTGATCAAACAACCATGAAAAGGTAGGCTCTCTCTCCCTCAGTTGTCTATGCATAGTAAAAACAAAAATATAAAACAACTAATGCTAGCCAGAGTGAGATTAGCTAAAATCTAACGAGTGAACATTAGATAAACCCTCTAAAACTTTTTCAGCTAGTTTGCCGGCAAAATTGCACTGATAAACGATGGGGAATAGTAGCCTGCTCTTCCTTCTGCAGGAAGGAAGAGCCTTCTGGAACTTGCTTGCCTGCCCGCCCATTTGATCGATGCCAAATACATTTGATTGACAACTAAGAGATATGCTAACTGTGGATAACAGTCGTTCAAGTTCAGCATAGCTAGATAGCTAGCTAGCAAAGCGATTCACATTTCTTGCTAGCTAACCAAATGACAACTGCATCTCTAGCTGTGGCCACCGAAAAATGATATGAGGGGAAAAAGTCAGTCACTCACCCACTCCTCCAATGACATCCTCCTAGCAGATAACTATCGAGCTAGCTAACATTAGGCTCTGTGTTTCTAGCTTTCTAAATAAATAGCTAATAACATAAATAGATATGCTAGCCCATGGGTGTCAAACAATCAGCGCACAGGCCATATAGAAAAAGCACAAAGAATGCAACTACAACCTAAACTGGCAATTGTTTTATTAGAAAAAAATATGACCCTTTATAATCCCAATTTATAGTCCCAGTTTGGACAAACCTACTCATTCCAGGATCTTTCTTTATTAATACTATTTTGTACATTGTAGAATAATAGTGAAGACATCAAAACATTGAAATAACACATATGGAATCATGTAGTAACCCAAAAAAGTGTTAAAAGTTAATTTGTGGAATTTCTTTCCTTCTTGATGCATTTGAGCCAATCAGTTGTGTTGTGACAAGGTAGGGGTGATATCCAGAAGATAGCCCTATTTGGTAAAATACCAAGTCCATATTATGGCAAGAACAGCTCAAATAAGCAAAGAGAAACGACAGTCCATCATTACTTGAAGGTCAATCAATACGTACAATTTCAAGAACTTTCAGTAGCAAAAACCATCAAGCACTATGATGAAACGGGCTCTCCTGACCGCCACAGGAAAGGAAGACACAGAGTTACCTCTGCTGTAGAGGATAAGTTCATTAGAGTTAACTGCACCTCTTATCGCAGACCAAATAAATGCTTCACAGAGTTCAAGTAACTGACACATCTCAACATCAACTGTTCAGATGGGACTGTGTGAATCAGGCCTTCATGGTCGAATTGCTGCAAAGAAACCACTACTAAAGGACAACAATAAGAAGAAGAGACTTGCTTGGGCCAAGAAACACGAGTAATGGACATTAGACCGGTGGAAATCTGTGCTTTGATCTGATGAGTCCAAATTTGAGATTTTTGGTTCCAACCGCCGTGTCTTTGTGAGACGCAGAGTAGGTGAACGGATGATCTCCACGTGTGGTTCCCATCGTAAAGCATGGAGGAGGTGGTGTGATGGTGCTTTGCTGCTGACACTGTCAGTGATATATTTAGAATTCAAGGCAGACTTTACCACAGCATTCTGCAGCAAAATGTCATCCCAAATGGTTTGGGCTTAGTGGGACTATCATTTGTTTTTCACAATTATTCTACAATGCACTTAAAATAAACTTTCAAAGTTCTTGACATTTTCCGGATTGACTGACCTTCATGTCTTAAAGTAATGATGGACTGTCTTTTCTCTTTGCTTATTTGAGCTGTTCTTGCCATAATATAGACTTGGTCTTTTACCAAATAGGGCTATCTTCCGTATACCACCCCTACCTTGTCACATCACAACTGATTGGCTCAAACGCATTAAGGAAAGGAATTCCACAAATTCACTTTTAACAAGGCACACCTGTTAATTGAAATGCATTCCAGGTGACTACCCCATGAAGCTGGTTGAGAGAATGCCAAGAGTGTGCAAAGCTGTCATCAAGGCAAAGGGTTGGTTACTTTGAAGAATCTCAAATAAACTATATTTTGATTTTTTGAACACTTTTTTGGTTACTACATGATTCCATATGTGTTATTTCATAGTTTTGTCTTCACTATTAATTCTACAATGTAGAAAATAGTAAAAATAAAGAAACTCTTCAATGAGTAGGGGTGTCCAAACTTTTGACTGGTACTGTATGTACAAAGGATGCTGTATATAGCATTTTAACATATTAAAACAAAAGGAGAGAAATAATATTTGTCCAGTCTTTGCTGCTATGCTTGCAGATGTGCATAATATGCTCTGACCCTAATATATATATATTTTTTAAATAACTCCAAATAACAAAAACGTAGCTATAGGTTGTTGTAACATTTAAACTCAAAACATATTTTTCATTTATTTGCACTGCATGGATCACCGGTTCGGTTGAATGCAGCATTGCTGTATGGTGCACTCAAAATCAGTGGAGGCTGCGGAGGGGAGGCCAGTTCATAAATGTCTGGAATGAATTGTAATGATGGAATGGAGTGAATGGAATGGTATCATCTAAAATGACGTTGGAGGCAGTTTATGGTAGAGAAATTAACATTAAATTATCTGGCAACAGCTCTGGTGGACATTCCTGCAGTCAGCATGCCAATTGCTGGCTCCCTCAAAACTTGAGACATCTGTGGCATGGTGTTGTGTGACAAAACTGCACATTTTAGAGTGGCCTTTTATTGTCCCCGGTACAAGGTGCACCTGTGTAATGATGTTTAATCAGCTTCTCGATATGCCACACCTGTCATGTGGATGGATTATCTTGGCAAAAGGGAAAAACTCACTAACAGGGATGTAAACAAATGTGGGCACAACATTTGAGAGAAAAACCTTTTTGTGCATATGGAAAATTTCAGGGATCTTTTATTTCAGCCCATGAAACATGGGACCAACACTTTACATAGTGTTTATACACTGCTCAAAAAAATAAAGGGAACACTTAAACAACACATCCTAGATCTGAATGAATGAAATAATCTTATTAAATACTTTTTTCTTTACATAGTTGAATGTGCTGACAACAAAATCACACAAAAATTATCATCAATGGAAATCAAATGTATCAACCCATGGAGGTCTGGATTTGGAGTCACCCTCAAAATTAAAGTGGAAAACCACACTACAGGCTGATCCAACTTTGATGTAATGTCCTTAAAACAAGTCAAAATGAGGCTCAGTAGTGTGTGTGGCCTCCACGTGCCTGTATGACCTCCCTACAATGCCTGGGCATGCTCCTGATGTGGTGGCGGATGGTCTCCTGAGGGATCTCCTCCCAGACCTGGACTAAAGCATCCGCCAACTCCTGGACAGTCTGTGGTGCAACGTGGCGTTGGTGGATGGAGCGAGACATGATGTCCCAGATGTGCTCAATTGGATTCAGGTCTGGGGAACGGGCGGGCCAGTCCATAGCATCAATGCCTTCCTCTTGCAGGAACTGCTGACACACTCCAGCCACATGAGGTCTAGCATTGTCTTGCATTAGGAGGAACCCAGGGCCAACCGCACCAGCATATGGTCTCACAAGGGGTCTGAGGATCTCATCTCGGTACCTAATGGCAGTCAGGCTACCTCTGGCGAGCACATGGAGGGCTGTGCGGCCCCCCAAAGAAATGCCACCCCACACCATGACTGACCCACCGCCAAACCGGTCATGCTGGAGGATGTTGCAGGCAGCAGAACGTTCTCCACAGCGTCTCCAGACTCTGTCACATCTGTCACGTGCTCAGTGTGAACCTGCTTTCATCTGTGAAAAGCATCTGTGAAGAGCCAGTGGCGAATTTGCCAATCTTGGTATTCTCTGAAAAAATGTCAAACGTCCTGCACGGTGTTGGGCTGTAAGCACAACCCCCACCTGTGGACGTCGGGCCCTCATACCACCCTCATGGAGTCTGTTTCTGACCATTTGAGCAGACACATGCACATTTGTGGCCTGCTGGAGGTCATTTTGCAGGGCTCTGGCAGTGCTCTGCCTGCTCCTCCTTGCACAAAGGCGGAGGTAGCGGTCCTGCTGCTGGGTTGTTGCCCTCCTACGGCCTCCTCCACGTCTCCTGATGTACTGGCCTGTCTCCTGGTAGCGCCTCCATGCTCTGGACACTACGCTGACAGACACAGCAAACCTTCTTGCCACAGCTCGCATTGATGTGCCATCCTGGATGAGCTGCACTACCTGAGCAACTTGTGTGGGTTGTAGAATCCATCTCATGCTACCACTAGAGTGAAAGCACCGCCAGCATTCAAAAGTGACCAAAACATCAGCCAGGAAACATAGGAACTGAGAAGTGGTCTGTGGTCACCACCTGCAGAACCACTTCTTTATTGGGGGTGTCTTGCTAATTGCCTATAATTTCCATCTGTTGTCTATTCCATTTGCACAACAGCATGTGACATTTATTGTCAATCAGTGTTGCTTCCTAAGTGGACAGTTTGATTTCACAGAAGTGTGATTGACTTGGAGTTACATTGTGTTGTTTAAGTGTTCCCTTTATTTTTTTGAGCAGTGTATTTTTGTTCAGTATAAGTAAAAACGCTGTCAGTTCCGCTTTAAAACTCTTAATGAAAAATGTCCTTTCCTTGTATGCATGCATACTAGGCTATTTTCTGTTGGTCACGTCATTTTACTCGTTGTAAATTTTTTTACAATTTGTCGACCGGGTAAAGAGGATCGGTTAGTCGGCAGAAAAATTAACCAACATTTGCATTCCTAATTGGGACTATTCCATTGCTTCCATTGTGTCAGTCAAACCCAATCAAGTATTTGAAAAAATACACACTATTGAATTTATATTGAACACAGGTCTGCACAGTTCCACTCAAATACTTCAACCAAAGCAAGGAGAACACAGTCAGTCGAATTGAAATATTAAATTAAATCGATTGAGCAAATATTGCTTTCTATCAGTTTCAGTGTGATTCTGTCTCATACCTTTCCACACACAGCTTGCTCTCCACGTCCCAGACCGTCAGCAAACCCCCGATGCTCCCGGCAGCCAAGAACTTCCCACAGGGCGACCAGGCCACTATGTTTATTGCCTGGTGGAAGGAGCGGGGGATGGAGAAAGATGGAGAGAGGAGGTGGCGGTGAGAAAATGACTCATTAAAAGATGGAAAACCACCCTTTTACATGGGAGCAACAGGCCATTTTCCATATCGTTACCAATGTACATCGAGTGAAGTATGGGTGAGGTGGTTTATAGGGCGTGCAATACTTTTCTAATGAAATAACACCTCAGTTTCCAATAACTGCTGTAAAATCAAGTTACAGTTCAATTAGTGCTATGGATAAACAAACCTTTAATATTCGTCATGCCAAACTTACATGAAGTAAAAATTCTATGGTTCAGATTCAGGTTATGGTGTTCCTGTAAGTTTGTGGAGTGTAGGGCTGACCCCAATTAGTCGACTGGGGGTCAGCACATGTAGAAAATAGTACAAATAAAGAAAAACCCTTGAATGAGTAGCTGTGTCCAATTTTTGGACTGGTACTGTATATATATATATACACACACAGAGTATATATTTGCGCCCATCTCAGTGAACTAATCCATTGCGGAGGATTAGACTAAAATAATATTTATGCTTGATTCGTAAATGTGGTACAGTGAGGGAAAAAAGTATTTGATCCCCTGCTGATTTTGTACGTTTGCCCACTGACAAAGAAATGATCTGTCTATCATTTTAATGGTAGGTTTATTTGAACAGTGAGAGACAGAATAACAACAAAGAAATCCAGAAAAACGCATGTCAAAAATGTTATAAATTGATTTGCATTTTAAATTAGGGAAATAAGTATTTGACCCTCTCTCAATCAGAAAGATTTCTGACTCCCAGGTGTCTTTAATACAGGTAATGAGCAGAGATTAGGAGCACACTCTTAAAGGGAGTGCTCCTAATCTCAGCTTGTTACCTGTATAAAAGACACCTGTCCACAGAACCAATCAATCAATCAGATTCCAAACTCTCCACCATGGCCAAGACCAAAGAGCTCTCCAAGGATGTCAGGGACAATATTGTAGACCTACACAAGGCTCGAATGGGCTACAAGACCATTGCCAAGCAGCTTGGTGAGAAGGTGACAACAGTTGGTGCGATTATTCGCAAATGGAAGAAACACAAAAGAACTGTCAATCTCCCTCGGCCTGGGGCTCCATGCAAGATCTCACCTCGTGGAGTTGCAATGATCATGAGAACGGTGAGGAATCAGCCCAGAACTACACGGGAGGATCTTGTCAATGATCTCAAGGCAGCTGAGACTATAGTCACCAAGAAAACAATTGGTAACACACTACGCCGTGAAGGACTGAAATCCTGCAGCGCCCGCAAGGTCCCCCTGCTCAAGAAAGCACATATACAGGCCCGTCTGAAGTTTGCCAATGAACATCTGAATGATTCAGAGGAGAACTGGGTGAAAGCGTTGTGGTCAGATGAGACCAAAATCGAGCTCTTTGGCATCTACTCAACTCGTGTTTGGAGGAGGAGGAATGCTGCCTATGACCCCAAGAACACCATCCCTACCGTCAAACATGGACGTGGAAACATTATGCTTTGGGGGTGTTTTTCTGCTAAGGGGACAGGACAACTTCACCGCATCAAAGGGACGATGGACGGGGCTATGTACCGTCAAATCTTGGGTGAGAACCTCCTTCCCTCAGCCAGGGCATTGAAAATGGGTCGTGGATGGGTATTCCAGCATGACAATGACCCAAAACACACGGCCAAGGCAACAAAGGAGTGGCTCAAGAAGCAGCACATTAAGGTCCTGGAGTGGCCTAGCCAGTCTCCAGACCTTATTCCCATAGAAAATCTGTGGAGGGAGCTGAAGGTTCGAGTTGCCAAACGTCAGCCTCGAAACCTTAATGACTTGGAGAAGATCTGCAAAGAGGAGTGGGACAAGATCCCTCTTGAGATGTGTGCAAACCTGGTGGCCAACTACAAGAAACATCTGATCTCTGTGATTGCCAACAAGGGTTTTGCCACCAAGTACTAAGTCATGTTTTGCAGAGGGGTCAAATACTTATTTCCCTCATTAAAATGTAAATCAATTCATAACATTTTTGACATGCATTTTTCTGGATTTTTTTGTTGTTATTCTGTCTCTCACTGTTCAAATAAACCTACCATTCAAATTATAGACAGATCATGTCTTTGTCAGTGGGCAAACGTACAAAATCAGCAGGGGATCAAATACTTTTTTTACAATGTAGGAGGCTCCATATGGAGGGTATTGCGCAATTGCAAGAAGTACAAATGCCCTGACTTCTGCTGAGGCTATATCACCATAAATACTGCATGGCCAATGCAGATGTCGGATTGACCATGCGCCCAGATGCACAATGCACTTCTCTCTCCAGAATGCACTCTCACGCCAATTTGTGCACATTCATTGTTTCATAACTTAATTGTGAATTGTTTGCATTTGGTTGTGAGTGTATATCAATTCCCCCATGACATATCTCACCAGTAATACATTTACCGTTAATTCCTATAATTTCTACGATCTAATATATGTTTGTTACTTTAGTTACTGTAATTTATTTTAATGTATTCAATATTATTATTCCAGTCTTCCCGTTCTCATTGTCGGAGTGGACACATTGTCTGCAGAGTGTACAACCTGCTACACAAGTTTTGGTTTATTTCATTCCATTTTCGAGTTTTGTCATTGTCTTTTGTTTGGAGCACTCCTGGCAATGTTGAGTAAGGACGAGCACGCATAGAAGTAGGCCTATAGGCTACCTGGCCTGTGCTCAAATGTAGGCAAATAAATGTGCCCATTTGTGGATCTGATAGTATTTCTGACTGGCTTAACACACCACCACTAATGACCTGTGGAGCTTCTCAAAGTAATGTTTTCTTCACCTCAAACAGCAAGCAAACAAAGTATTTTTACATCCACTGAGAATTACAATAGTTCCTCAATGTATTTGAAAAATCTTTCCAGCTCTCTCCCTTTTGATAACCACTATGCGTGAAAGGAAAAAAAGTAATGCTCTGATCCAATGGAAACGTCATAAAATACACCTACCTGATTACTTCTTATCAGTGCTCGACTTGGACTGAAATAGGTTCCGGTACTCATTTTGGGTGCTGGTACTGTTTATATTTAGGTGCAGGAGCTCCACAATAATTTTGAGCTAATATTCTATAAGAGGAACAGAAGCTCAAGCAGTAAATAATTTGAGGTGCTGGTACTCATCTCCGGTGAGCTCCTGCCCAAGTCAAGCACTGCTTCTTATCCCTTATGCAAATAGCCTACAGCTGTGTCTGTCCCGAGCTCACTGGCGCAGGAAACTGAGTGCCCAGAATATTTTATACAATGTTGAAGAGGCGACTCCGGGATGCTGACCTTCTAGGCAGAGTTGCAAAGAAAAAGCATTCTCTCACACTGCCCATCTTAATCTTTTATTTTTATTGGCCAGTCTGAGATATGGCTTTTTCTTTGCAACTCTGCCTAGAAGGTCAGCATCCCGGAGTCGCCTCTTCACTGTTGACGTTGAGACTGGTGTTTTGCAGGTACTATTTAATGAAGCTGCCAGTTGAGGACCTGTGAGGCGTCTGTTTCTCAAACTAGACACTAATGTATTTGTCCTCTTGCTCAGTTGTGCACCGGGGCCTCCCACTCCTCTTTCTATTCTGGTTAGAGCCAGTTTAGCTGTTTTGTGAAGGGAGTAGTACACAGCGTTGTACGAGATCTTCAGTTTCTTGGCAATTTCTCGCATGGAATAGCCTTCATTTCTCAGAACAAGAATAGACTGACGGGTTTCAGACGAAAGCTATTTGTTTCTGGCCATTTTGAGCCTCTAATCGAACACACAATTGCTGATGCTACAGATACTCAACCCGTCTCAAGAAGGCCAGTTTTATTTTCTTTAATCAGCACAACAGTTTTCAGCTGTGCTAACATAATTGCAAAAGGGTTTTCTAAATTTTTTTATTTTTTATTTTTTTTTTTTCACCTTTATTTAACCAGGTAAGCCAGTTGAGAACAAGTTCTCATTTACAACTGCGACCTGGCCAAGATAAAGCAAAGTAGTGCAATAAAAACAACAGAGTTACATATGGGGTAAAAAAAACATAAAGTCAGAAAATACAACAGAAAATATATATACAGTGTGTGCAAATGTAGCAAGTTATGGAGGTAAGGCAATAAATAGGCTATAGTGCAGAATAATTACAATAGTATTAACACTGGAATGCTAGATGTGCAAGAGATTATGTGCAAATAGAGATACTGGGGTGCAAAAGAGCAAAATAAATAATATAGGGATGAGGTAGTTGGGTGGGCTAATTTCGGATGGGCTGTGTACAGGTGCAGTGATCGGTAAGGTGCTCTGACAACTGATGCTTAAAGTTATTAAGGGAGATAAGAGTCTCCAGCTTCAGAGATTTTTGCAATTCGTTCCAGTCATTGGCAGCAGAGAACTGGAAGGAATGGCGGCCAAAGGAGGTGTTGGCTTTGGGAATGACCAGTGAGATATACCTGCTGGAGCGTAGACTACGGGTGGGTGCTGCTATGGTGACCAATGAGCTAAGATAAGGCGGGGATTTGCCTAGCAGTGATTTATAGATGGCCTGGAGCCAATGGGTTTGACGACGAACATGTAGTGAGGACCAGCCAACAAGAGCGTACAGGTCACAGTGGTGGGTAGTGTATGGGGCTTTGGAGACAAAACGGATGGCACTGTGATAGACTACATCCAATTTGCTGAGTAGAGTGTTGGAGGCTATTTTGTAAATTACATCGCCGAAGTCAAGGATCGGTAGGATAGTCAGTTTTACGAGGGCATGTTTGGCAGCATGAGTGAAGGAGGCTTTATTGCGAAATAGGAAGCCGATTCTAGATTTAACTTTGGATTGGAGATTCTTTATGTGAGTCTGGAAGTTGAGTTTACAGTCTAACCAGACACCTAGGTATTTGTAGTTGTCCACATACTCTAGGTCAGACCCGTCGAGAGTGGTGATTCTAGTCGGGTGGGCGGGTGCCAGCAGCGTTCGATTGAAAAGCATGCATTTAGTTTTACTAGTGTTTAAGAGCAGTTGGAGGCTACTGAAGGATTGTTGTATGGCATTGAAGCTCGTTTGGAGGTTTGTTAACACAGTGTCCAATGAAGGGCCAGATGTATACAAAATGGTGTCGTCTGCGTAGAGGTGGATCAGAGAGTCACCAGCAGCAAGAGCGACATCATTGATATACACGGAGAAAAGTGTCGGCCCAAGAATTGAACCCTGTGGCACCCCCATAGAGACTGCCATAGGTCCAGACAACAGGCCCTCCGATTTGACACACTGAACTCTATCTGAGAAGTAGTTGGTGAACCAGGCGAGGCAGTCATTTGAGAAACCAAGGCTATTTAGTCTGCCAATAAGAATGCGGTGGTTGACAGAGTCGAAAGCCTTGGCCAGGTCGATGAAGACAGCTGCACAGTACTGTCTATTATCAATCGCGGTTATAATATCGTTTAGGACCTTGAGCGTGGCTGAAGTGCACCCGTGACCAGCTCGGAAACCGGATTGCATAGCGGAGAAGGTACGGTGGTATTCGAAATGGTCGATGATCTGTTTGTTAACTTGGCTTTCGAATACTTTCGAAAGGCAGGGCAGGATGGATATAGGTCTGTAGCAGTTTGGATCTAGAGTGTCACCCCCTTTGAAGAGGGGGATGACCGCGGCAGCTTTCCAATCTCTGGGGATCTCAGACATTATGAAAGAGAGGTTAAACAGACTAGTAATAGGGTTAGCGACAATTTCAGCGGCTAGTTTTAGAAAGAAAGGGTCCAGATTGTCTAGCCCAGCTGATTTGTAGGGGTCCAGATTTTGCAGCGCTTTCAAAACATCAGCTGTCTGAATTTGTGTGAAGGAGAAGCGGGGGGGGCATGGGCAAGTTGCAGCAGAGGGTGCAGAGTTGGTGGCCGGGTTAGTGGTAGCCAGATGGAAAGCATGGCCAGCTGTAGCAAAATGCTTGTTGAAATTCTCGATTATTGTAGATTTATCGGTGGTGATAGTGTTTCCTAGCCTCAGTGCAGTGGGCAGCTGGGAGGAAGTGCTCTTATTCTCCATGGACTTTACAGTGTCCCAAAACTTTTTGGAGTTAGTGCTACAAGATGCAAATTTCTGTTTGAAAAAGTTAGCCTTTGCTTTCCTGACTGCTTGTGTATATTGGTTCCTAACTTCCCTGAAAAGTTGCATATCGCGGGGGCTATTTGATGCTAATGCTGTACGCCACAGGATGTTTTTGTGCTGGTCAAGGGCAGTCAAGTCTGAGGAGAACCAGGGGCTATATCGGTTCTTAGTTCTGTATTTTTTGAATGGGGCATGTTTATTTAAGATTGAGAGGAAATTACTTTTAAGGAACAACCAGGCATCCTCTACTGACGGAATGAGATCTATATCCATCCAGGATACCTGGGCCAGGTCCATTAGGAAGGCCTCCTCGCTAAAGTGTTTTAGGGAGCGTTTGACAGTGATGAGGGGTGGTCGTTTGACCGCGGACCCGTTACGGACGCAGGCAATAAGGCAGTGATCGCTGAGATCCTGGTTGAAGACAGCTGAGGTGTATTTAGAGGGTATGTTAGTCAGGATGATATCTATGAGGGTACCCATGTTTACGGATTTTGGGTTGTACCTGGTAGGTTCGTTGATAATTTGCGTGAGGTTGAGGGCATCTAGCTTGGATTGTAGGATGGCTGGGGTATTAAGCATATCCCAATTTAGGTCACCAAGCAGTACAAACTCTGAGGATAAATGGGGGGCGATCAATTCACATATGGTGTCCAGGGCACAGCTGGGGGCTGAGGGGGGTCTGTAGCAAGCGGCAACAGTGAGAGACTTATTTCTGGAAAGGTGGATTTTTAAAAGTAGAAGCTCAAACTGTTTGGGCACAGACCTGGATAGTATGATAGAGCTCTGCAGGCTATCTCTACAGTAGATTGCAACTCCACCCCCTTTGGCAGTTCTATCTAGACGGAAAATGTTATAGTTGGGGATGGAAATTTCAGAATTTATGGTGGCCTTCCTGAGCCAGGATTCAGACACTGCTAGAACATCAGGGTTGGCAGAGTGTGCTAACGCAGTGAATAACTCAAACTTAGGAAGTAGACTTCTGATATTTATGTGCAAGAAACCAAGACTTTTGCGATTACAGAAGTCATCAAATGATAGCGCCTGGGGAGTAGGAGTGATACTGAGGGCTGCAGGGCCTGGGTTAGCCTCTACATCACCAGAGGAACAGAGGAGGACTAGAATAAGGATACGGCTAAAGGCTTTAAGAACTGGTCTTCTAGTGCGTTGGGTACAGAGAAAAAAGGGGGCAGATTTCCGGGTGTTATAGAAAAGATTCAGGGCATTATGTACAGACAAGGATATGGAAGGATATGAGTAAAGTGGAGGTAAACCTAAGCGTTGGGTAACGATGAAAGAGATAGCATCGCTGGAGGTATCTCTAGAGGCATAAATTGAGTCGGTCTCCGCGTGTATTGGAGGAGGTGCAAAGGAGCTATCTAAGGCAAGTTTAGCTAGGCTGGGGGGTCTGCAGTGATATAGTACAATTAGAAATAACCGAAACAACAATAAACTAACCATGTTTGGGCTGAGGCTAAACATAAACAGGATGTAGTACCGTAAAAAGGAACAGTCCAGCAGATATCAGCTGTATAGCTGAGTTATCATAAGGTCCGGTGGTGAAGCACTAGTAAGAGGCCACGGCTAGCGTGTGCTAGCGGGCCAGGGCTAGCAGATGGATGGAATCTTCGTGGTTAACGTCGTAACCACATCAGACGATTTCGTCGGCAGACCAGTCGTGTAGGATCGGCGGGGCTCCGTGTCAATACTAGGTGGTCCCGTCCGGTTGACAGAGAGGTAGATAGCCGGGAGATGGGCTTAGCTCAGGATAATTAGCCAGACCACAGCGTCCGTTTTGTTGTAGCTAGCTGGTAGCGACGAATCCGGAGTTAAAGGTCCAGTGATTCAATGGTTCCAGCGGAAAAACGGATATGTTCTGGGTCGATAACGCGCTGTGCAGACTGGCCGAATATCCGGTGATCAATGTCCAGTGATTAAAATTAATCCCGCAGAAGAAAATCCAATGTTCTGGGTGAAACACCGCTAGCTAAGGCTAATAGCAGGTAGCTAGTTAGCTGGCTAGCTAGTTTCACTGGAGATTCTAGATAAAAGGTAAGTCAATAATAGAGTCCGTTCCACATTGAGTGAGGCGGGTTGCAGGAAAGTATATTTTGTAGAAGGATGAAAAGTCTGATAGGGAAATAGGTACGAAAAATACAAAAAAAAACAAGGTATTTACAGGCTATTTACAGACACACGACAGAAACAGACTGCACTACTTCGCCATCTTGGAAAAAGGAGATGATCAATTAGCCTTTTAAAATGATAAACTTGGATTAGCAAACACAACATGCCATTGGAACACAGGACTGATGGTTGCTGATAAATGGGCCTCTGTACGCCTATATAGATATTCCATAAAAAATCAGCCATTTCCAGCTACAATAGCCATTTACAACATTAACAATGTCTATACTGTATTTCTGATCAATTTGATGTTATTTTAAAAAGGGACAAAAAAATTTATTTTCTTTCGAAAACACAAGGACATTTCTAAATGACCCCAAACTTTTGAACGGTAGTGTAGGGTGTGTCTACATATGGAAAAATACACTGTAAAAAATGTAGACCAATCGATTGGTGGAAAGAACAGACAACTTTCGGGCGACCAAGATATATTTTAGTCGGGGACAGCCCAAGTGGTGGGAACAATTTATGAATTGAGAATTGATCTTGTAGCTACATTGGAAGCAAATGCGATATATAGGCTGTGCGATATATAGAATTAACTCGAATTAATGTTTTTGCGTGATATTCCAAACGCCTATATCGCAAGAAATCAGGCTTATTTTTTTCATTTGTTTATATAAGTGCTTATGTCAGCTTGTTCTCATGTTGTCTTTTTGGTCTTGTCTCCTTCGCTCCTTCTGTACGGTGTGCACTGCCATTGTGCACCTTTCCTTTACACACACGCCAAGCCCCTCCCCCTGCCACTCACACCAATAAAGATGAGAGATCACTTCTTCCTCTCTGGCAAGCGGTTTCAACTCGCTATTTGCATTTGACGTTTGGTCCAACAGAATCGTATGGACACCGAAACACATTGAGACATTATTTTACTGTAATAGAAGAGAAGTTAAAATGGAAGTAAGCATACGCCGATTAAAACACCTGGTTCTTACGATTTATTAAGACATGTTAACACCCTAATCGTTGTTCCAGCTGTGTATTTGGTCTGCACATGTGCTAGCACCAGCTGAGCGAACCTCCCTCTTTAGCCAGAGTGAAGTGAGTTAGGAACAATATATGCCTCTTAGAAGTAGGTTTTACATACAAACTTTATATGCCCAAACTCAAATATGCTTCCCAAAAATAACAAGGTCGCTGTCGTAGAACATTTATTTTGATTGGTGATTTTCTGCATTTATCAAAGTGCCATCAGGTAGCATGATTTCAGATGTGTCCAAGTCATTAGGAATATTGGGGAAATCGTTCTTCTTACAAAGCATGTAAAGGTTTATATCAAACTAATATATTAATCTATTCTATCCCCAAAAACCGCATTATTGTGTGCATGTAACTGTACTCATTGACAGATTATTGCAAAAAAACATAAGAATTTCACAAGCCCTGAATTCATTAGACTATTGCTGGCCGTTTGAAATGAAGTTTATTTTACCTTTAAATTGTACAACAAAGTCTATTTAGAGAGCAAAAATGTTTTTCCAAATCTAGATATATATCACGAATCGCCTAAATAAATAACAAATCTGGATATTATTTTTTAGCCCATATCGCCCAGGCCTACAGTGGAGCCATGCATGGTGGTGTTTAATAGGCATGAAACATGCCCCCCAGGTATCCACTTTACCCATTGACCTCACCTGTGTGCCAAGGTCATCAGAGAGTGTGCTCACGTGGGCCCAGGAGTCTCTCTGGTACAGCTGCACCGTTGTCTCCACGGGAACGGCCAGGAGCTAGACACACACACACATACACACACTATGGAAACCACCGGGCACTCTGACATAATGGCATAAGTGTCACTAAGTGGATCAGGATCTGTCTTGAAAAATATATCCTATCTCGATGAGACTAACCTGAATAAATAATAATGGTGCGTAGAAGAGGTACTGAACAGGTGAAAACTATAAGTCGCCTTAAAGGAAAGTGTCAATTAATTTCAGGCTATAACCTAGAAGTAGAGGTAAGTGAGTTAGTACCTTAGCGGCCCTGGGCTGCCAGGCCAGTCGGCACAGGGACTTGGCATTGATGACATCATTGGACTTCTGCAGCAGCGGCCAGCTGGTCACCTGAGTCTGAATGAATCCAAAGCAGAGTTTCTCAGATCACTCTAATGCAATAACAGGGCCATGTTCATTAGGCAAGAAAACTGACAAACTGGAGAGGGACTACCTGGACTTGACCAATGAGAAAGACACATTTTTCATTTAACATTGCAAAACGCTTTGAAGTGTTTTTCTTGTGTACCCGAATGAACGTGACCCAGATACAATTCTTAAATGTATTTTCAAATGGCAGTTGATAGAGCAAGAGCAGATACAGTAAGTACGGGGTTTTCTCTAGATCAAAAAGGGGGCTTAGGTGGTGGGCATCAGGGGGCATGCCAATGGATGTGGTCGGCCCGTCTGCGCGGCTGTATTGTAGAGAATTTTAGAGGCCCCCATCTTGGCGGTTTAGAGACATTTTTGAATATTTAAGCCAATTTCCATGTAGCTGAGAGAAATTGTTTCAGTTTTTTTGCCATGGAACTGAAAGAAAATGCTGCAGTTCTAAAGCTAATTTCCTGCAATTCTATGTATTTTGCCATGGCTACTGCAGTGTTATTTTGCTCAAAACGTAACAAAGTCAATACTGCTAAATTCATTGTTTTTGGGATTTTCTATTATCCTGACTGTTATTTTGGTGACTGTTAGTTCTCAAATATTATATTAATAAAAACTATATAGGTTCATGATCTTTTCTACATACTTTATATCTGGTTTTAGTCGTTTAATTTTACACTGAAAGCATTTTTCCATCCCAAAAAGTTATTTACACTGTTTGGCTGTAGGCATCTGTAAAAAACGCTTAGGCGGCACGCCCAAAGACTTCAATGACAATGAGCTAAACAGAAGAGTAGAATATGAGGTGGGGTGATGGTTTTTTACCTGTTCCTCAATGTTCCACACAGCTACAGATCCATCACAGCTGGCAGAGGCCTGAGATGAGAAAGAGAAAGGTTTGACAAATACCTTTTTTTTCTTGTAAGAATAAAGCATTCTAGTCTATTCCTAATGCACAATAACAGTATCTAGCTAATTAGTATCATATCAAAATCGTTAAAATTAGTGGTGGTAAGGGTAACGTTGTAGATTATTCCTACCAGGAACTCATCCTTGGGGTCAAAGGTGACACTGAGGACGGGGGCATTGTGTCCCCGCAGGGTCTTCTGCTGACTGCTGTCGGACACCTCCACTACCTTCACCATGAAGTCACTGAGGGAGGAACACACACACACATACATATATACATATACATATATATATATATATATATATATACACACACACATACATATATATAGACATATATATATACACATACATATATATAGACATATACACATATATATATATATATATATATAGAGGATGTGATCAGAACAAAAGTAATCAAGAAAATCATTGTTTGGGCTAGGGGTATGTCAGTTTTAATGATATATGAATGGATGTCAGAAAAGCAGGAATTCTTGATTCGTCTGGAAAAATCTCATCTCTGGTGAGTGAGGCAATAAAATGAATGAAGGAATGAATGAAGGAATTCATTAATCAATCATGCAAACAATCAATTGAGTAGTAACTGCTCTGCTTCCAACTTTTACTTTGTATCAGACACAGTATTACATATCTAGATCAGTTAGATCTACAGTAGGAAATAGACGCAAGACACTAATTTCCTCAAATTGGTGGTGTGGATGTCAAATACAGATGCCACATCTTCATTTGACCACCCTGTTGCACAGCAGGAAATACAAACTACATATGTAACCCTCAACAGGCCTCAGCTGCCTGTGCTGATCAAGTCAATATTCAAACGGATATTAGCCACATGAAAATGGCCTAATCAATCCAGAGATATGGTCGGAGTCTTCATTTCTGTGATACACCTGTTTAGAGAATAAATGCTTAGAGCAAACAGCTATTGACTTACAGTCACCACTAATCAGAAAGGAATTGAAAGCTGTGTTGTGTCTATTTGGTCAAAAGTAATCCGTGCGCACCGTGTTCAAGCGGTCATTCTACAGTGTAAAGATCCTATATTCAAAAACCTGCCCATTGATTCTTAAACCGGAATTAGCCCACTAGAAGTCCAATGTCCTTCCAAATCCCAAAAAAAAAGCTAGATTTTTTACAAAGTCCCAAAGATAAATCTATGGTCTGGCACAATAACTATATTGGGATCATAAGTGTAACCATCAAACCAGAAACACATTTTTATGACATGGAAATAAACGTAGATATCTGCATTGCCGAAGTGATTGTAATTTATCAGTCTTCTAGCCATTTGCTCTCAGAGCTCTACACATCGGGGTGGTAACACAGAAATTACATTCTATTCTAGTCATTCTATTTCTATGGGTGTCCGTCTATAGTACCTGGATCCGGCCGCTACTCTGGAGCCGCTGCTGTTGTACGTGACATGGGTGGCATTGGTGGTAAAGCGGGTGAGGATGCCATCTGGGTCACCCTCAGGGAACGTGTGGATCTGCACTGTGTTGTTGGAGGCTGCTGTGACCAGCTTCCCATTCTATATTATGGGGAAGAAAATACAAAAGTTAGATTACAACAATATAAGAATTTCATTGTACACTTCATTGTATGCCATGAATGACAAATAAACCTTGATTTGAAAAGGGGAGCGGATAAAATCGAGCCATAGAACATAGTTTTAACAGTCCATTGTAGCTTACTACATTTAGATTTTGTGATATAAAACAATTTTGGAGAGTAAATCTATTTGAACTTCTGTATGAAAGGTGCTATCCTTGTTGAATACAATTGTTATTATCATCATATTGTATGTACAACTTGACTAAGAAGTATGTAACACTAGAAACAAGGTTCATGAAATCAATAACTTGCTAACATAGGATAACATTCATACGTATACCGGCCATCTCTGAAACTCACTTAGATAATTCCTTTGATGAGATACAGCAGTAGCAATAGAAGGATATAACATCTACAGAAAAAACAGGAATGCCTATGGGGGAGGTGTTGCTGTATATGTTCAGAGCCATATTCCTGTAAAGCTTTGAGAGGATCTCATGTCAAATGTTGTTGAAGGGTTGTGGTTGCAAGTTCACCTGCCTCATCTAAAGCCTATTCTTTTGGGGTGCCGCTACAGGCCACCAAGTGCTAACAGTCAGTATTTGGATCAAATCAAATCACATTTTATTGGTTGCATTCATATATTTAGCAGATGTTATTGCAGGTGTAGTGAAACGCTTGTGTTCCTAGCTCAAAAAGTGCAGTAATATCTAACAATACACACACAAAAATAAATAAATGGAATTAACAAATATATAAATACGATCGATAGTAGATAGATAGATAGATAGATAGATAGATAGATAGATAGATAGATAGATAGATAGATAGATAGATAGATAGTAGATAGATAATAGATAGATAGATAGATAGAAGATAGATAGATGATAGATAGATGATAGCATAGATCGCTAGATCGATGTAGTAGATAGCTCGATCGCTATAGATCGCTATCGCTCGATAGATAGATAGATAGCTGATAGATAGTGATAGATAGATCGCTCGCTGATAGACTCGATTGATAGCTTAGCTCGCTAGCTCGATCCTCGCTAGATCGCTAGCTAGATAGCTAGATAGATAGCTCTTCGCTAGATCGATAGCTCGCTCGCTAGCTAGCTAGCTCGCTCGATCATCGACGACTCGATACGATAGCTCGATGCCTCGATAGATATGCTAGTAGATAGATAGATAGTCGCTATGCTAGATCGATAGCTAGTACTAGCTCGCCGCTCAGATCGCTACGCTCGTAGTCGATAGCTCGATCCTAGCCGCTAGATTCGCAGATAGTAGTCGATAGATGCTCGCTGATAATAGATAGCTGATCCTAGATAGATCGACTAGATAGCTAGATAGCTCTCGATCGATAGCTCGCTAGATAGTAGATAGATAGATAGCCTCTCCTAGATAGCTAGATGATAGATAGATCATGATAGTAGATCGATCGATGTCTGCTAGATGATAGATAGATCGATCGCTAGATAGATGATCGATAGTAGTCGATAGATAGATAGATTGATCCTGATCGATAGCTTAGCTCGATAGATGATCGATAGATAGATTTCGATCGCATCGCTCGTGTCGCTAGAGATGCTAATAGCTCTAGTGCATCGCTGTAGATATAGATCGATCGTAGTAGCTATGATCGTAGCTCGATAGCTAGATCGCTCGCTGCTAGTTTAGATCGATAGATGATGATAGATCGTAGATACGATCTACTAGATATAGCTCGCTAGATCGATTAGGTATCTAGATAGAGCTCGATAGATAGCATGACTCGATCCTAGCTAGATAGTTGCTCGATAGTCGATCGATTAGATCGCTCGAGATAGCTGATAGATAGATGCTAGATAGCTCGTAGATGATAGCTAGATAGATCGATACTAGTGATGCAGTGTGTAGTGTGTGTGATGTTAAGAGAGGTTTATTTTCTGGGTGACCTGAACATTGACTGGTTAACAACTAGCTGTCCTGTCAAGAGGAAGCTTCTAACTGTGACTAATGCCTGTAATATGACCCAGGTTGTCACTCAACCAACTAGAGCAGGGATGGGCAACTGGCGGCCGCCACCCTTTTGAAGGCCCTTGGATCAATTCCACACAAGTAGGGCCGTGGCGGTCACGAAATTTCGTCAGCCGGTGATTGTCAAGCAAATAACTGTCAGTCTCACGGTAATGGACAGTTAATTAACATAAACACATTTAGCATCTCCTGGCTTCCACACATAGCATACAAGCCACTGATGCTGACCTTTGGAACATCTACATTTAAAAAAGTATAATAAATACATGTAATATAGCCTACACCTTCACAATAAATCCATATTTATTTTAGATGGTCTAAAGAAGCATGATATGAAGAAAACGTAGTCTATTTCAGAAGAACAGAATAGCATACGCTTGAGTTGTCCTTATGTTAGGTCCTGATCTGGCTATGCCAAATGGCTTTGGGCTACACTAGTTCATTTAGCAGACAAGATTTGCTTTATTTTATAGTATGAAGAATACAATTGCACAAAGCTGAATAAAATAGAAAGGATATTTTCTCCAAATGATTTGAGGGAGTGCGCACATGCGGCTATTTTGTGTTGAGCGGTTAACAAAGAAATAGGTATTCCTATATGCTTAATTTAGAGTTATTAATATAACTTCAGTTCTACAAACGGGCTATATGTTTAGATTTTTAATACATTGTAAGGCTGCATGATGCAACTCTGATGATTTGAAAAAAGTCGCTTGAAAGACATGAGCTCTGCTTGGTTTTTGTGCAGGCTGTGCACACTACATCAGTCACTCATTCACAATTTGACAAGCACTTGATAAAGCCTAGAATTTCACGCCGGCATTCCCTTTGTGTGGCCGTAATGCACCCTAAAAAAATCTATGTATTTTGTGGCCAAAGGCCGTTGTGCCCTTCTCCCTGAGTGCTGCGCCCTCTATCACGTGATCGAGTCTTTCTCACAGGCTACATGTGAAGAAAGACACATCGGGGACTCAACTGTGCGTGTCCTTATCCAATTCCGAGGTGCATATTGAAGATATTGGAAGAACTGTCCACATTTACTTTTCATCAGCCAACAAGATGAGTAGGCATAACGAACAGCAAAAGCACTAGCCTATGTCAATGTACTATCCCCCATAGTACAAAAGTCGACCTATTCTATTCTGTGCGAGAAATACATATTCAAAACATAGTCTGGAACAGTTGTGGGATGCGATAGATCCCAAATTAATACAACCACTAGCATTAAAAACACTTTTTTATGCAATGTGGCTGAAGCAACAGATCAGAACTTTTAAGCTTACAATGTTGATAAACTACAGTGGGGAAAAAAAGTATTTAGTCAGCCACCAATTGTGCATGTTCTCCCACTTAAAAAGATGAGAGAGGCCTGTAATTTTCATCATAGGTACACGTCAACTATGACAGACAAAATGAAAAAAAAAATCCAGAAAATCACATTGTAGGATTTTTAATGAATTTATTTGCAAATTATGGTGGAAAATAAGTATTTGGTCACCTACAAACAAGCAAGATTTCTGGCTCTCACAGACCTGTAACTTCTTCTTTAAGAGGCTCCTCTGTCCTCCACTCGTTACCTGTATTAAATGGCACCTGTTTGAACTTGTTATCAGTATAAAAAGACACCTGTCCACAACCTCAAACAGTCACACTCCAAACTCCACTATGGCCAAGACCAAAGAGCTGTCAAAGGACACCAGAAACATAATTGTAGACCTGCACCAGGCTGGGAAGACTGAATCTGCAATAGGTAAGCAGCTTGGTTTGAAGAAATCAACTGTGGGAGCAATTATTAGGAAATGGAAGACATACAAGACCACTGATAATCTCCCTCGATCTGGGGCTCCACGCAAGATCTCACCCCGTGGGGTCAAAATGATCACAAGAACGGTGAGCAAAAATCCCAGAACAACACGGGGGGGACCTAGTGAATGACCTGCAGAGAGCTGGGACCAAAGTAACAAAGCCTACCATCAGTAACACACTACGCCGCCAGGGACTCAAATCCTGCAGTGCCAGACGTGTCCCCCTGCTTAAGCCAGTACATGTCCAGGCCCGTCTGAAGTTTGCTAGAGTGCATTTGGATGATCCAGAAGAGGATTGGGAGAATGTCATATGGTCAGATAAAACCAAAATAGAACTTTTTGGTAAAAACTCAACTCGTCGTGTTTGGAGGACAAAGAATGCTGAGTTGCATCCACAGAACACCATACCTACTGTGAAGCATGGGGGTGGAAACATCATGCTTTGGGGCTGTTTTTCTGCAAAGGGACCAGGACGACTGATCCGTGTAAAGGAAAGAATGAATGGGGCCATGTATCGTGAGATTGAGTGAAAACCTCCTTCCATCAGCAAGGGCATTGAAGATGAAACGTGGCTGGGTCTTTCAGCATGACAATGATCCCAAACACACCGCCCGGGCAACGAAGGAGTGGCTTCGTAAGAAGCATTTCAAGGTCCTGGAGTGACCTAGCCAGTCTCCAGATCTCAACCCCATAGAAAATCTTTGGAGGGAGTTGAAAGTCTGTGTTGCCCAGCGACAGCCCCAAAACATCACTGCTCTAGAGGAGATCTGCATGGAGGAATGGGCCAAAATACCAGCAACAGTGTGTGAAAACCTTGTGAAGACTTACAGAAAACGTTTGACCTGTGTCATTGCCAACAAAGGGTATATAACAAAGTATTGAGAAACTTTTGTTATTGACCAAATACTTATTTTCCACCATAATTTGCAAATAAATTCATTAAAAATCCTACAATGTGATTTTCTGGATTTTTTTTTTCTCATTTTGTCTGTCATAGTTGACGTGTACCTATGATGACAATTACAGGCCTCTCATCTTTTTAAGTGGGAGAACTTGCACAATTGGTGGCTGACTAAATACTTTTTTCCCCCACTGTATTAGGCTATTTCTTCACATTATAAGCGCAGCAATGCGCACATGGTAGTAGGCTATAAGCGCAAATGTTCCATTAGCGTGAAACACCATTATCAAAAGTTACCGCAAATGCAATTATGCATGTAATGCTTTTATTATAAAGGTGCATTATGGTGAAAATTATCTTCCCCAAACTTGAAACTCACGCGCTGCTTATGTATGCCAGTTAGGCTCTTCACCCCTTGTAAAGCGGATTAATGTGCTTAATTTTAAGAAGTTATTTGGCCACTTTAGTTGGGATACAAACCTTATCAAAACATATAGGCCTATGGGCTAGGCTACATGAGGTGTGCGACTATGATTCAAAAAAGTCGCAAAAAAATTGCATTGTTTCTTATACTGGGCATCATTCACAAGTGATAATATATAATTCACAAATCATAGGCTAATATTGTCACCCATCAGACTATTCTTGATATAATCTTGTCTTTACATATACTAAATAATATGTGTGAATTTTTATTTATTTAGAATGGACCATTATCATGCACCGGTATCGAAACAGGGGCAGCGGGAAAATATAAATGTATAGCGAATAGCTTTTCCCCGTGGTTTATTTTCATGCCAGCCAGGTAGGCTATACTCCTGTTGTAAATATAAGCAATGTGCTTAATATTAGGAAAGTTGAGAAATACATATAGTGGGCCTATAGAAAGCTGTTGGGATCCTCCTCTTTTTAGTAGAGGCCATCAATCTGTTTTCTCCCGCAATTGCATAGCCTATTGAAATGTTGCGCAACATGAGTGCATGGGCTCTCATTAAATGTTTAATTAGATTTTTGAATACATTTGCATTGATGTCAGAGTGATTAGAGGGACAATAGAGTGCTGAGTACCAGGCAGTTAGCACGTTTGGTAGGCTACTAATGACCAGCAGCAACATCAGAGCTTGGAGAAGCCTAATTACAGTGACTAAACAGTCACGTGGAATTTGACTGCCTTCATGACCGCCGGTGTGGCGGTAATACGGTCACCACAACAGCCCTACACACAAGGTGCAATTTCAACATTTGGTTGTGGATCAGAAGTTTTTCTCTTGTTATGTCATTCACGGATAGTCATTCAATTAGCCCATGTCAGCTTCATTTTTTTTTAGATCAGGGATTCCGAAACCTTTTCACTCAGGCCCCCCTTCAAGCATTGGGGAACATCTCGCACCACGTCTTTTCTATGGGCACAAGCACTGTTCATGACACAAACCGTTTTGCAGTTTTAAAGCTCATTTTGCCATGTCTAATGTGTATTCATGAGATATGAGTAAATCAAACATTACATCAAAATCTATGGGCTAAAAAACCTATAGAACCCAGAGATTGTTCTTCAATGGAAGCTACTCTAACTTAAGATATGTACAGTGCTGTGTCCTGCAGGGCAGTTGCCTTGGTACGTTACTCTTCTCTATTTTTACAAATAATTTACCACTGGTCTTCCGCGAAGCTAGAACGACTTTGTATGCGGATGATTCCACACTCTACATGTCAGCAGTTACAGTCAGTATCAGAACGGGTGGTTAATAATAAACTGGCCATAAATACATCTAAAACTAAAAGCATTGTATTTGGTTCAAAATATTACCTAAGACCTAAACCTCAACTGAAGTTGTGTTCCTCTGAAATAGAATACATTTTCTTCATATCATGTTTCTTTAGACCCGTCTAAAATAAATAAATGAATTTATTGTGACGGTGTAGCCTATATTAAATGGATTTATTAGACTTTAAAATGTAGATGTTCCAAAGGTCTGCATCAGTGTCTTGTAGGCTATGTGTAGAAGACAGGAGATGCTAAACGTGTTTATGTTAATTAACGGCCAATTACCGTGAGACCGGCAGTTATTTGCTTGACAATCACTGGATGACAAAATTTCATGACCACCACAGCCCTAGCAATGATCTCATAGAACGCCGTTCCATCTCAAATTACTCAAGCAAACAGCAAAATTATCTTTAGAAAACTGATTAAACAACATCTCATGGAACGACAGGGACTGTGAGGGGGACACACACAAACACACGTATTGTTTGTATTATTTTTGTTGTTGTATTGTTTGTATATTGTTGGATTTTACATTTCTGTTACTGTCCTTGTGTATCGGTGCGTTCTTACTCGTCATGTTGTGTGTTTCTTGTGGACCCCAGGAAGATAATACAAATAAGAAGTGTTATAGAATTGACATCACCCACATTGTTATTCCTGCGATATGGCTGTAGACTCCTATGGGGTCTAAGAGTCTACAGCCATGTCTCAGGAGTACCTCATTGGCAACCACATTGAGTAGGCTTATTGCAAATTTGCTGTGCAACACATTGGTAACTTTGTCAATGGCAGACTGGTATGAGACTCACCTTCAAGGCTAAAGAATATGCCTTCTCCCCGACGTTGATGGACTTGGGATCGTCATCATCCAGACTCTCCCATATTCTCACATCCCCATCGCTTCCACAAGTGACTATATACCTGAGAGAATGTCAGGCAAGAATCATTTCAGCGACTGGCCTCTATACTTATATTACTACCTGGACAATATTTACTAGTGCTGAGAGATTCATGCTTTTTGAGGTCAGTTCGCTTTCAGTTTGATATTTAAAAAATAATCACAGTTTTGATTATTATTTTTAAACATTCAATGCATTAAATTAATTAATTAAATTAATTAAATGCATGTGGGTTGAATGCTGTAACACATAATAAAAAAATTCATAAAAGTCCCATGATGGTAGTGACTGCCCATTAGTGCTTATCACTTATTAATCATAATCCATTCACATTACTTTAATAAAATATTTCAGTTGTGTATATTACATTTGTTTTAGGCCTATTTGATGACCAGGGCCTAAAATTAACTTTTTGGTCAACCAGCCACTGTGGCAGGTACTAGTATATGGAAAAATATACCAGCCATTCAGATTTTTTACCAGCCAAAATATTTTTTCGCCTGGTAACCATGCTTAATGTTTCTAAAACAAAAAACGTATTAGTAAGAAGTAATGTGATATATTGCTTAATTTCATTTTTTGTGACAAGTCTTTTAACCAAAATATCAGATGAGTCAAAAATGTTCAGCTGCCACTTTAGGGGCAGGAGGTTACGGTGGTAGTGAATACGTTCCAGCTGTCATGGCTGGTGCATTATTATACTTACTTTCCAGTGTCATCAAAACAAACCTCAGTGTGTCCCTCCGAGTGGCCGTAGCGCATTGGCTTTCTTTCACAGGGCATTGTTCTACTGAAATGACAGCATTGTCAGAGAATGAGAGGTGATGCAAATGTGAAAGTGGCATGACATTTACCTATTTCTGTTGCACATACATTTGATCTAACAGACTTGAATTCTTCTTCTCGAGTGCCACTTCACTAAACCGTATTGATGTGCTGTTGAATTTATTGTTGTCTAGGCCTATGTCCACTGTCGTGTAGCTAAGGTTATTGGCTGTATTGGTAACCGTTTGACTCAACTACCATTAGCTACCTACTATACGCAAGTGCAATCAAATTTCACCTTTGGGGATCAATAACACAGCTACAGTAACTTCATCTTATTTAATAACGAACATGGCATTTCACTATCTATCAAGTAACTAGCCAGCCGTCTCACTGACTTAGTCAAGTTCTCTAGTTAGTTATCTACTTTTGCAGCCAGTCTATTGGTTGTGCATTTCACTTTCTTTGGAAATGGATGCTATTGTGTCATATCTACAATGCACGAAGACGTTTGAACCACATAACTAGCTAAACTAGCTAACTGGGACAGAAGAATGCAATTCAAAATAGCTAGCTAATTGGCTTAAAACGCATTTCAAATGCACGTAATCATTTAAAATGTTTGAAATCTTCTCTTTCAATATATCATGTTACATGAGATATGTGAAACGGTAATAATAATGCCAGACTTACTCTAGTGTCCTCTTTATGTGATTGCAGAAATTCCCGCGCTGTTGAAAACAAGGAACCAAAAAAGCTTCAGGATTCCCGCCAGCGACGTCAAGCGTCACCACTCCCTCGGCTCCTCCCATGTGCACCAAAAAGAGGAGTGCCAGCAAAAATGCTTCTTCTTCTTCGATGAGGTTTAACGGCAGTTGGCATCCAATAAATGTTGCATTACTGCCACCTACTAGACTGGAGTATAACTTTTACTTTGCTTAAAAAAATTACAAATACAACAAATACCCTAACATCTAACACTACACTCACAAAAATTTTTATTACAATAATAATAATAACTACCATACTCCACTATTTAAATCTATGTATTCCTACTTCAGGCCAACAGCCTGAATGGAATGGACACCACCATTTAACACCCCCTGTAACTCTTCTGATGTCAAGTCTCGCATACCTAAATACCTCTCTGCAGCTGCCACCACAACCTGTATTTTCTGCGACTTACGTTCCATCCCTGCAGTACAGTTGATAACCATTGCTATAAATGACAAAAATCCAATCTTACTGAAACATATATCACTTGTTGGTTTATCCCTATGTACTGGTACAAATCTACTACTCACACCATTCCTCTCAGGATCCCTCCCCCTTGACCCATCTTCCTCTACTTTCTTCACTGCCTCACACCGGACATTTCGGATCCCCAGCCCCATGGGCACCCCTACAATTAACACATACCACTACTTTCCTTTGTCTCATGCCCTTCTGCACACTTCTCACAGCTAGGAACCTCCCTCCTACACACTGCTGCCACATGCCCAGAAGCTTGACACCTGTAACAACGTAATGTATTCAGCACAAAAGCTCCGGATAACTTATATACCCTAACATCACTGTGTCGGGGCAAAGACTCAACATCAAAACTCAAAAGAACAGACATTGACTCTTCTTTTTCTCCACTCACGCCACCCTGTCTGCGTCGCACCAAATGACGAGCATCACAAACACCGGGAATCTTCCCCTTCAGTTGGTCAGCTTTCACATTTACCGCTACCCAAGTAATCACGCCTTTCAATGGCGCCCTTTTCTTGAGAGCAAAACAATTCACATTTCTTGCCCCCATTTGTTTAACACGGAGCGCCTGCTCCCTCTGACCAGCAGAAACACAAACAATGATCACCAGACCACTTCTGGTTACCCTCACCGATTCCACAGCACCCAACTCTGTTTTCACCCACCCTGAAACCACAGATGGATCAGCCAAAAGGCAAGGGTCCACTTTTTCCAAAAACTTCACTCCCACTGTCACAGACTCATCTTTATCCTGACCCTCGGTGCAAACCTCAGGCTCCGAGAACTTCACCACACCTTCCACCTCCGATACTGAGCCCTCATTCACTTCCATTTCTCCTCCTGTCTTCAACTCACTCTGTTTACACTTTCTACCATTCTTCTTTAACAAACCATCTCCCTTTCCCCCGCCATTTTTAACTGACTCAAGCTCACCCTCTTCCTCCCTCTCTCTCTTAGACCTCCTCTGCCCCTCTTTTTCCCACCATTCCTCCTCCGTATTCCAAGTATAACTCTCCTTATGATAGTACTGCACTTCTCCTGACATACATCTAGTTCTTGCCTTGTCTAGGGACGCCATTTCTCCTTCGACTCTCATCTCTGCCCATACTAAACTTAGGCTCCAGCAAAAATGCATCTAACTAACTTTGTCATGTAGGCAGGCGGCAGCTAGCTACATACAGTAGATATGCAGCTTAGTATGTTTTCAAATATAAATTATAAATTAGTTTCAGTCAAATCATCAAATTCAGTCACCCATTCTACCTCTCAGTACAACTTCCAATACAGGCTAAGCTCCTAGTATTCATTTTCAATGATTTTTTATGTTCATTCAAACAACAATATGTGAGTACCACAGGAGGTTGGTAGCACCCTACTTGAGGAGGATGGGCTCATGGTAATGGCTGGAGTGGAATAGGTGGAATGGTATTAAATACAACAAACACATGGTTTGATACCATTCCATTCACGCCATTATTATGAGCCGTCCTCCCCTCAGCAGCCTCCACTAGTGAGTACCTGTCCTGTCTTTCCAAACCCATGTGGCCCAGACAATCTGATCTTGGTATACTTTCTATTGGCAATCTGAAAGGTGTCTCGCTGGAGTAATTTCATAAGCACAACAGGAAACAGGCTGCTGCAGACAGCTGTGTCTAAATATTACTGCAATGAAATCCAATAGTCTCCAATAAAGCCTGTGTGTGTGTATGCGTGTCTGTGTGTGTGCGTGTGCGTGTCTGTGTGTGTGCCCATGTTGACTGATTACTGCAAATGAGCCTAAACCAAAGACATACAATCCCATCCCAGAATCGTGTGTGATTTGATTAATTCTGTATATAATAAGATATCTTATACAGTGTTACAATGATAAGCTCTGGATGGGGTCTGACTGCAATGATAACTGGATAATCTGAGACACATTCATATTTCATTTCTGTGGTATGGGCAGATCAATAAAAGTATGGCTCCTGCATCTGTCCATTGAGAAACCGTGTTTTTTTCCCTCTTCATCTAGACACATTGTCTGTGTCACGATTCTCCACACTTGCACACTTCCCGTCACAGGTTTAAAAGCAATGGATTGGTATTATAATTGCCGGGGGGGGAGAGCTTCCGCCATTGTTAAATCCATGATGGGAATTGTGCTTATGGATAAGGGAGGAGAATGGGGACGCCAAATGGCAACAAGTAAATAAACAAATTACTTCAAAATCTGAATTAGTCATGCATAGAGAGGAAGAAAGTGCTTTCTATTTCTTATCTCTCCCATTATTTGGAAAGCAATGACATTCAAAGGTGCACTTTGCAGAGAGCACTTTGAATTGTTTTCTCACATTTGAAAGGCAAATATTTCCATACTATTAAGATCTCTTACAGATCAGTGAAAGCGGTAAGGGCATGGTTAAGTCTAATGTGAGAAGTGCTTTTCTACTAGAGCAAGGATATTTGCTTTGTTGATGCGACAACAGGTTCTCGTTTAGAAAACGAAGATAGTCAGTCGAAAAGAAGATGAGATATTTCTTGACCTTCTGTTCTGCAAAATAGAATGTCACAGAAAAGAGGTATGACAGTGGAGCATTTATTGGTTGTATTTGTAAGTAGCCTATAGTATCCATGTATTGAAATTGGAATTAATATTATTAAAGGTTGCTTGGGTGGTTGAGAATTTGAGCATTTTGAGGAAGCAATATTAAGAAGACCATAATTCAATGTATCCGAATAATGAGGTATCTGGCCTCTCTACACAGAAACAGTATCCATTTTTACTGTGCCTTCAAAAAGTATTCACACCCCTTGACTTTTTCCACATTTTGTTGTGTTACAGCCTGAATGTGAAATGGGTTTCAATTTAGATTTTGTGTCACTGATCTACACACAATACCCCATAATGTCGAAGTGGAATAATGTTTTTTTTAAATGAAAAGCTTAAATGTCAATGAGTATTCAACCCTTTTGTTATGGCAAGCTTAAATAAGTTCGGGAGTAAAAAGTCACATAAGAAGTTGCATGGATTCTGTGTGAATTTCAAACACAGATTCAACCACAAAGACCAGGGAGGTTTTCCAATGCCTCGCAAAGAAGGGCACCTATTGGTAGATGGTTAAAACATTTTAAAAAGCAGACATTGAATATCCCTTTGAGCATGGGGAAGTTATTAATTACACTTTGGATGGTGTATCAATACACCCAGTCACCACAAAGATACAGGCGTCCTTCCTAACTCAGTTGCTGGAGAGGAAGGAAACCGCTCAGGGATTTCACCATGAGGCCAATGGTGACTTTAAAACAATTACAGAGTTTAATGGCTGTGATAGGAGATAACTGAGGATGGATCAACAACATTGTAGTTACTCCACAATACTAACATAAATGATACAGATTGAAAAGAAGGAAGCCTGTACAGAATAAAAATATTCCAAAACACGCATCCTTTTTGCAATAAGGCAATAAAGTAATTTGGCAAAGAAATTAACATTTTGTCCTGAATACAAAGCGTTATGTTTGGAGCAAATCATTGAGTCCCACTCTTCATATTTCAAGAATGGTGGTGGCTGCATCATGTTATGGGTATGCTTATCATCGGCAAGGACTGGGGAAGTTTTTTTTGTGGATAAAAATAGATGGAATGGAGCTAAGCACAGGCAAAATCCTAGAGGAAATCCTGGTTCAGTCTGCTTTCCAACACAGTGGGAGACAAATTCACCTTTCAGCAGGACAATAACCTAAAACACAAGACCATACACTGGAGTTGCTTACCAAGATGACATTGAGTGGCCTAGTTACAGTTTTGACCTAAATCGGCTTGAAAATATATCGCAAGACTTGAAAATGGATGTCTAGCAATGATCAACAACCAACTTGACAGTGCTTGACGAATGTTTTAAAGGTTAATTGGCAAATATTGTACAATCAAGGTGTGCAAAGCTCTTAGAGACTTACCCAGAAAGACTCACAGCTGTAATCGCTGCCAAAGGTGATTCTAGCATGCATTGGCTCAGAAGGTGAATACTTATCTAATCAAGATATATTTGTGTTTAATTTTACCATAAATAAAAATATATACACTACCATTCAAAAGTTTGGGGTCACTTAGAAATCTCCATGTTTTCGAAAGAAAAGCAATTTTTTCCCCCATTAAAATAACATCAAATTGATCAGAAATACAGGCCAATAAAAATAAAAGATTAAGATGGGCAAAAGAACACAGACACTGGACAGAGGAAGATTGGAAAAAAGTGTTATAGACAGACGAATCAAAGTTTGAGGTCTTCGGATCACAAAGAAGAACATTTGTGAGACGCAGACCAAATGAAAAGATGCTGGAGGAGTGCTTGATGCCATCTGTCAAGCATGGTGGAGGCAATGTGATGGTCTGTGGGTGCTTTGGTGGTGGTAAAGTGTGCAGGGTAAAAGGGATCTTGAAGAAGGAAGGCTATCACTCCATTTTGCAACGCCATGCCATACCCTGTGGATGGCG